TCAAGCATGACTTAATCTATCAACAGACAAAAAAAGAAAAGCTTACAGAGAACATTAATTCATTCTAAATAACTTCATAAGACACAAAGTACTACATCTTTCTAACCATCAACAGAAAGTCCATCCAGCTTGTCTGTGCACACTAGAAGCAACAGCTGAAGATTATTCACATCTAACTTAAATCAATGACACTGGTGTACTAGGACAGAATTCAAATGACACTCTACAACTGTAAAAGAACTTTGCATTAGATGGAGAATGATATTCTCAATGTCAAATTAAAATATATGCACTAATGCAATTGATTATGTCTACTCTGACTTGAAAGAAGTTCCTTTACCCAATGACACATACTAAATTGATCAACAAAACAGTCATTGAGAAGATGTCCTTCTTCTTCAACTTTCCCTACTATGATTACCAGTTCTAATCTAATATACTGATATGTGCAGTACACATACTTTCAGTGAGGGCACTGATTTTAAAAGATATTCTCCAGCAACTGACATGGAATCATTACTGTACATAATATCAGAATAGTTAGCTACTTAGTCAGCCCTTCCAGCTTACCCACAAAGCTGGAAGAAAATAGAAGAATCATCTTCTACTACACAACCAAAATTGCATGAACATTCCATAGCTCAGTTAGACCAGGTAACAGTATTCAAGCTCTTTGAAGACTTAATTGATTGAAAATTCTTCAGACAAAAGATCATTACAACATCTTCAACAGAAGCTGAGCTTTTAGCACTATTCTATATGACAAAATAGACCATGTGATGGAAACACTTATTTAAGAATATTACATTGAAATTAGAAAGAGATTTTGATATTTTATGTGATAATTTGCAGACAATTCATTTACTGATTTCAGCAGCTTTACAACTAATTATCAAGCTCTGTTATGTTGATATTCATCACCACTGATTATGGCAAGCAGTTACTAATAAGAAATTGAATATTAGCTGAATTGAAAGTGATAATATGTCTGCAGATGACTTAACAAAGATCTTGCCTAGACAGAAATTTGAAAAATTCATTAAGTAATTGAAGCTTATGAATATTGATTATTTAATAGAGAGAAGTTTGCCATCTACACCACTGTTAAAGCTACAGAGACATGTTGAGCAGAAGTCAGATGACTTATTAGATGATCAGATCTTCAAAGAAGAAATTAGAGAACTGTAGATTCATTATTTTCTCTTCTCAATTATGATATTAATTTCATTATCTTTGACTATCAGACTGATGGAGGTTTGCTAGGGGTTTTTCATATGTTTTTCCCATAGTCTTAGTTATAGCATGTTCATCTATAAGTATTCTTGTCTTGTTCATTAGGAGCAGACCTAGACGCAATATTATAGACGCTCAGCATGATCATCACGTGCTCCTGTGTCGTCCGATACCATCCCTTTTTCTGTCCCTACTCAAAATAGCAGTGAACAAGGATGAGTTTGGGACTAGCTTTTAAACTCTGGGATGGGAATGGGACTTGATTTTAAAACCGCAAAGGTCGATACTTGTTAGTTATGGCTATGCGGCTATGGATGAATTATACTCGAGAATTACAATAACCAACAATATCTAGTTCGCTGGCAATGGCGGCGAATCCACATTCCTGAAGAAGGCACAACCACGACTACAGGTTGTTCTGTCGCATTCGTCTCGGTGACAAGTTCAATAATGGGAGGTACATCATCTTGCGGAAGCTAGGCTACGGTCAATATTTTTCGGTTTGGCTGTTGCGTGACTTGAGATAAGGTTTCTCTCCATTCTGACTTCTTGCAGGGAAAATATAGTGTAGCCAACTGTATTTGTTCAGGATGCAAAGACATGTCGATCTAAAGATTTTCTGATCAGATTGCTATAATCGCAATCATGATATTTACGAACTCGAGGTGCTGCAGCATATTAAGCAGAAATCACAACTAGTTACCAACCCTGGAAGGAATCATGTGAATCAACTCCTTAACCATTTTACCCTTAAAGGAGCAAATGGCGATCATGTTTGTATTTTATTCCCAGTACTAGGACATTATTTGAGCCTTGAATCCGCAAAATTCAGGCTGCACCGGATTCCAGTCGCAGTAATGAAAGAAGTAGCTTTACAGTTGCTTCAAGGACTCGATTTTTACCGCATCCCAATATGGAACGTGGACGGCTGAGGACGATAGACTCGCACAGCTTTTGGAGGTTTTCGGGCCGATTTGTCAGTCGCTTCTTCATAAGGGGGTCAGGCCTCCAGAGCTTTTTGATGCTGATGGTATGCAAACCTGCTTCATTATTTTCTCCGCATACCTCAAACCACCTCGGTTTCTCGTTTCCCATCATCTGGTCCCACTACAGCTTGAGCGAAAGCTCCCCCTTATAGATAAACCCCTTGCTGCAAATATGCTGACCATTTTAGGATACCTACTCCGTACATCATATCCCAAAGCTATCACCGGCGTCTCTCCTCTCACTAATGGGTGGCAAGGAGAAAATTCTTAAAAGGCCAAAAGACATGCGGGAAATCGATCTACCTGTGTTTGCTGATTTCCTCGAGGGAATGTTGGCCATTGAACCGGATAAGAGAAAATCAGCGGCAGAAATGCTACAGCTTCCACGGTTGGTTCGAGAGAGTGAAGCGCAAGCGCTATTCCGTCTATTTTTGTCAAGTTTAAAAAAAAAGAAGAGTTCTTAGATTCGATATCTATTGCACCTTTGAATATTCATAGGAAAATAATACACATTAAGCAGGTTCTAGAAACGAATCAACGTCCTAAGCGTTCCTTGCCACAACAACCTGCCCTTCCAGTTCCCGATTAGATGACTTGTGAATAGAAGAATTGCATTTGCTTCTTGAAGTTGGATGGCTAGTACTCCGTAGAGCCGCGACACTCCCCGACGCCTCTTCTATATTCCACGCTGCCGTAATACTTCTAGGTAGGTAGGTATTATAGTTAGTTAGCAAGAGTCCATGGCGTACGGAGTAGCAGGGAAAAGTGAGTAGAATTGGGGAATAAACTACTGGCTAGGTTTTGAATATGCGCAATACGGGTGATCATCACAATCCAAACCGACTCAACAACAAATTCCAATAATTCAAAATTTGTGGATCAAGTGTGCTTGCTGTAGTACCTCCAGAAAAGGGCTATACCACGACACAACTATATATACGAAGGGCTCCATGTTCCCCTTTAGCGATCTTCTCTCCTACGGAAAACAAGTAAGCTGCGTAAGGAGAGGAGTACTCAGTACGGAGTAACTACTCTGGAGAACAGGGGTAAGTCCGGGTGTCGTGTGATGAAACATGAGTGCAGGATGTGTTACCTCTCCCGTTAGCGACTCCCGTTGGGCCAAGATGTCATGCAGGCAAATTTTGAGAGTGGATTAAAAATGAGCCCAAGGAACAGTACGACATATCATTTTTCGATCGATAATTCTTTAAACGTTGCGACTTTGTGCTGCATATACTCTGTACTATGAGTGTGATGCATGGTGGCGAGCCAGAAGCGAGATGGATGACACACCCGCAAACACTACGGACTCCATACAGACCACAGTTGCTGGGAGAGGATGCAGAGAGACGAAACATGTCTTCTGGCCCAGCGACCAGAAAGGCCTTGGATGTGGCTGAAGGTTCGGAAGCTTTGGGTCAACATTCCCCGTACTCCGTACTCCGTACATATGAGGATCAAAGCTCGGGGTCAAGAGGGAGGGAGTGCCGTTGGATCGGAATGATGTCGATAGCTGCTGATCACCAGCATCGGATGTGCTGTTCGGGAGTAGCTTCAATAGCTTCCACCTATTCGGAGGGTGGCGATGTGGCCGGAGCTTCACAAAACAGGCATAACAAGCTGCTCACCTGCGAGCTGAATTATTGAATAATGTCGCCTTGGAGCGACCGGCGAGCAAAGACTGGACGGCAAGGCTGGCGGGACCAAGCACACAGAGCACGTCTGGAGAAGATCAATATCCATCATGGCTGGAGCTATTTGCTCGCCGCATAGAATATTTACTCTCTGTTGAACTGCAATTACGGGCGGGCGCAACGATCGCTGCGCCTGCAGTTCGGTTTGCAATGCCGCTCAGGGGCAGCCGGGCACCCGCCAATCACAACGCGGGCGGCGCGGCAAAAAGCAAAACGCCGCCTTGCCACTTGCGGACCGCTGAGGACAAAGACGATCGACACCGCGCGGGCAGCCCCAACCCCAACCTCGCAAGGGACGGCGGGTGGCGCTGGAATTCGATCTATCAGCACTACTCCGTACTGGCGGAAAATGCGGGTTTCTCTGTTTGCCCTGCGTGAAACCGGCCGTTGACAAGATGTCTTGGGGCCAGCCAAGACGGTCACTTCAATAGAATCGATACCCAGGAGCAAAGGAGGAGCATACCGCTGGTACGGAGTACATCGCTACTACGGCATGAGGATTGACGAGATGGGATGGGCTGTTGTTTTCGAAAGCCTGCATTACACAGATCAATAGTGTGGCGCTGAGCTTTCGGGAAGCGATTTGCAGCTACAGATAGCATTTCGTGCTACGGAACGCGAGCTGCAGCACGGTTCACAGGAGATGATTCGGATCAGCGTCGATGACAGCCAGACCTCATCACTATGTCTCTTTCGGGAGATGCACGCTCAAGCCTCTCGGCCAGGAGAGCCCAATTTTCTTCAATCGGCGACGCCACCGGGGGATGCAGCCCGGTTAGCGACATGCGATGGGTCTGCGTGTGTAGCCTCAACAGCGAATCAGCACCGCAAGGCGGTTTCTCGATGGCGATTTTGCAGAGTGCACGCTTTGCAGCCTCCCCTCTCATGCTCTTCTCAGGGGCATTTCGTCCAGCAGTCGAACGCAGTTTGAAAGTTATAAAAGGCCCCTTCGTCCCAGTCCGACAAAGGCTTTTCTTACTATCATCAGCAAGCATCACAAGAACAGCAGCTTTTATCACTACTCTTTTATCTTTTAATATACTTAATATCTAATATCTGCCCTCCCCGGCCTACTCTCTCATTCAAAATGAAGTTCTTCACTGCTGCCTCTTTCTTCGCTTTGGCTACTATTGCCGCCGCTGCCCCCGGCACTGGCTATGGAGCTGCTCCTCCTTCCTCCAACAGCAACCAGGTTATCGCTCAGTGCGGCAACCAGAACCTCTCCTGCTGCAACAAGGAGATTAACAAGGTCGACGCCAAGGGTGTTGACTCCGACTTTGGTGTCCTGAGCGGTATCGCCAAGAACATCAACCTTGAGAATCTCTCCATCTTCGACCAGTGCTCCAAGTTGGATATTGGTCGTATGTCGTTCGTTTTCCAAGCACTTGGATGCATGTACTGACTCGTGGATATCTAGTCGGTATCATCGGTGCTGGTTTGACCGATATCCTCAACCAAAAGTGCAAGCAGACTGTTGCCTGCTGCCAGCAAAACGAGTCCAATGCCGTAAGTGTTCATTGTTACCACTCCATTGGTACATAAATTAATACAATAATAGAATGGCCTCGTCGCCGTCGCTGTTCCTTGCATTCCCGTCAACGCTCTTTAAACGGTTGCATTCAACTATTGATCCAAATCGCTCCCATTTTGACCAGATATGCGATTGTATAGATGGAAGGATAGAATGTGTCAATCATTGATCAATATTGGATATGCTCTTCAATTTTGTCTCTCTTTCTCTCCCATGTCTAGTGTTCGCCGTGTGATTTGGATATTTGTCTTTGGCATCCTGCACATGCCTCCTGCTATTTAGCTTGTTTTATACCAATAGCAAGTGTAATTTATTGCATTCGTAAATATTTTCTTTGGAACCCTTAACGTCATTTATATTTATGCTCTTCGTATTATATTGAATGATGTTTATATTTATTCTTAAAGCACGTTTGTATACTGAATATCACCCAATTTTCGAGTAGATACAAGACGCCAGATAGATGCCTATATAATAGAAATTAAATCAATGGGAATATCAATACCCAAGCGTTACAGTTTACTCTGGGGCGCTGAAGGGGTGAATAGTGCGCTGGTTTTTGCCATTGCCTCAACCGCCTCTTTCTCAATACGTTTTAAAAGAGATTCACAAGTCGGAATATCATGGATGAGTCCAATTACTTGTCCAGCCGTCCAGACCTATAACATCCAATCAGTACAGTAAAATCGTTAGTAGGGTGATCGAAAAATTTGGGACATACGCCATAATGAATGTCTCCATTGATAAACACCTCCCGACCTCGCTTGCCAGTCACGTAAGGTGCGATTTCATTGAACTCATCATTTTTGCTAGTTTTTTCGACCTGGTACGCCGCTGTTGCAACATCGTTCTTGAAGAGGCGCGTTGTATTTCTCCACCGACGAAGGAGAAGCTGGGTGTCTTCCTCTTGAGCATCAACAATGGCCTTTTTCACGTTTTCATGGATAGGAGCTTCCACAGTGCACATGAATCGGGTGCCCATGTTGATACCTTCAGCACCCAGCGCGAGAGCAGCTGCCAGTCCATATCCGTCGGCAAACCCTCCCGAAGCGATGAATGGTACTCCGAGATCTTGTCTCGCACGGCTTAGGAGAATGAAGTTCGTAATGTCGGTCTCGCCGACATGACCAGCGCATTCGAAGCCGTCGATGGACAAGAAATCCACACCCAACTTAACGGCAGATTTTGCGTGTCTGATTGTTGTGCATTTATGCAAGATAATGCAGCCAGCAGCTTTCAGTTGTTTGATGACTGGGCCAGGGCTGTTGCCAGCCGTCTCAACGATGCGGACTCCCTCATCAATGATTGCTTGGGCATAGGCTCCATAGTTTGGTGGTTCAAGAGAGGGGAGTAGTGTAACGTTGACGCCAAACGGCTTTTTTGTGAGAGTGCGCGTCTTGCGAATCTCCTTTCGGAGGTCGTCCGGAGTGGGCTGCGTGAGGGCCGTGAGCTAGCAGTCGTGGTCAGCAACGCGTTGTCTCTTTTAGAATAACAGCTCTTCCATTGTCAAGGCAAGACATACGATTCCAAGGCCGCCAGCATTACTGACAGCAGCAGCAAGTTCAGCGTAACCGACCCATTGCATACCACCCTGGACGACAGGGACTGCCGTGACTTATCAGCAAACGACTTTCTGGGGCGGTTCAAGCTGACTTACTCTCAATCCCCAGCTTTCTGGTCAACTCGGTATTGAACGGCATCTTCTCTATAGCGCGCAAATGCCACAAAAGAAGAAAAGTACAGGGTCTCAAATGGCAATAAAAATACAAGACTCTATTCTATTTAACACGGGAAAAGGAGTGGGAGGGGCTCAGCAACAAGTTTGAAGTGAGTGTTAAAAAAGCAGAGATCCTGCAGCGTCTCAGTTCCCACAGCACAGCGAAAAAAGTGTTGTCATCGCTGAAAAGGCCTGCCCGGACGTCGATGAGCTTATCAGCTTCTGATGAAAGCGCAGATGCTAGGCCGAGAGCCGAGGTCCCTTCAGCCTGGGCGAAGGCGCGCTGAGCCACGTACGCAAACCGCCGTTCCGCCCCAGCAAAAGCGTGGCGCCAGGATTTCGGGCACGCTGGGCCCAAAATCCAAAATAGCATGTCCGAGGGCAGGACAAAGCATGAAATAACATATGCGAGTATTAAGCCTCCTGCTTCACTTGCAAGTGGAAGACAATTTGCTGTTTGAATTCTGCATTCAACTTCGTGGCAGGCCGGGAGATCTACAGTCGGGTTGCCAACATTTCTCGTGTGCCTGGAGAACCGCCCCAAGAGTAGGGAGTAACTTGGTGCGCAAGTCCTACTGCGAAGAATAACTATGTTCCTGTTCGGTTTCTGTGCTTCGGTTTAATGATGCCTTGCCAACAACAGTGGCTTTTTACAGCTGAGTGATAGACAGCTTCGACATATGAGCTACTTCGTAGAATGCAGAATGTAACCCTGATATGAAACCCCATCCCCTCATTGACAGAGTGAATTGGGCGATTAACGACGGGTCGAAGCAACGCATCTCTCTCTTAGGAACCTTCTCATCCCGAAGGCGTCAACAGCAGAAAGCCGTGACAAGGAACGAAATGCGGCCAGTATCGTTTCCGTTAGGACTGCCACTAGCTCCTGGAACATGCACAAAGCACATAACAGAGCGACCGGCTGACAGAGACGAAGGCTTGAGGTCCCGTTGTTGATTCAAGTGTGTGGAGGAAGATTGCGAGAAAAGTCAGGCAGGGTGACCCGGCCCGGAAGAATTATCTTCAGGTTTTGTAAATCGCGACCGCCTATTGGCCGGCAGTTACTGGTAGTGTGACTGACATAAGCCGAACGTTCCATTATACGTCTTCCATACAAGCAGGAGATACACAGAGTGAAGAGAGAAGCTCCTGGCGAGACCTATCAATACCATGTCTGTGCAAAGAGTAGTGCAGTCGTCCTTGCGGCGCGGTATGTTCTGAATTCTCCAAACGTTCTCTGGCTTTGTTCTAACCCTGGACTATTTAGTTGCCGCGCAGAACCCGGTTCTGATCCGGTCGTCCTTCGCAAGATTTGCAAGCCCTGCAGCGATTGCACTCGGGCAGTTCAGGTGAGTACACCAAGGCTGACAGCTTATTATCTGCTGGCGCTTTGGCGCATCCTCCCATTCTCTCGCTCTGGAGCCTGGACAGCCGCCACTGGGATATCGAGGCAACTCGTCGGTTAATGGGGATCCACGATTGAGACGAATTTACTTACTAGTTCCTAGACCAGCAACATCTTCCTCCAAACCTTACACTGAAGTGTCTGATCCGAAGCAGCTCCTTGCCCGACAACGCCTTAACCGCCCTGTCTCGCCACATCTGGCCATCTACCGGCCGCAAATTACCTGGTACCTCTCTGCCCTTAATCGCATCACAGGCTCTGTGTTATCTGGTGGCATGTATGTGTTTGCTGCGGCATACTTGGTAGCCCCTGCGGTTGGCTGGCATCTGGAGTCGGCGTCTCTCGTTGCCGCATTTGGTGCCTTGCCGATTGCAGCAAAATTCGCTCTGAAATTTGGCGTTGCCATGCCCTTTACATTCCATTGCCTGAATGGAGTCAGACATCTTATTTGGGATATGGGAAAGAAGTTGAATAATAAGCAGGTCATATCTACAGGCTGGACAGTAGTGGGCCTGAGTGTAGCCAGTGCCTTCGCGTTGGCTCTGATTTGAAGAACGCCCTGCTTCTGTATATATACCTTCTTGCCATTGTCAATAAATTTATGATATTTTGATCCTGATTGTGTGTGTTCAGTACATCCATTGTTTATATGATATAGTTGATAACACATTAGGACGAGCTCTGTTATTTTATGTGAAAGAAGGTGTTAAAATAGTGTATTATCTCTTGAATGCATACAGGAGTATTAAGGTTATTATCAAAGAGTCACAGTAACTATCTACCCCAGTGCTGACATACTCCAATGCAATCTCATAGTTGCCCGAAAATCATTCCCTTAAGTCCACGAAAAAATGTGATTAGGCCACACTTGAAACAGTGACCTCAGAGTAAGACAAGAAAGAACTGAAAATTGTCATATCTGGAGCTCTTTTTTCAGTGCACTGCAAATGCAAAGACTTTTTGAACACTGCGACGAAAAATGTTAATAATGATTGGAGTATGCAATTGCTAACAAGAAAATTGTGCAAGGCAAAATATGCAAATGTAATATGAACACATAACATTTTGGTGTTGAACTTACCTTTTAAGAAACAATTTGGAACCGAAATGGATATCGCGGATACCAGACACTAAGCTGGGCTAGGAGGGGGATTCGGAGGCAGAACGGGAGAGGAAGGACGCCCGGAAATTGAGGAGCTCGACGCAATGGATGGCCCTAGTTTTTCAGCCATATAAAAAAAAAAGAATCAATGCATAATCTGACTTAACTTACCATTGTTGAATGGTAAGGACACAGCAACCTTAGGCATGCTGAATTGATTAATGCTGCAGCACAGAATGGTATGAGTGCAAAGATACAGGTACTTGTTGAGATGAGCTTGCAAGAAGGAATAAAAGGGGAACTGAGAGAAATTCTCAGGCTTTATAGTGCACTACTAAACAACCACGTGCTCTGGCTAGAACCCGGTGTGTTCCTCCTTAAACAGACGAAACTTCGAGAACAGTCTCTCAGGGGCTAAGGGTCATTGGACAAGGAAGATAAGTGCACATTGTGTTCCTCCTAAGCAATCCATATCTGCACAAGCATTCCCTCATAGCACAAGATAGTTATTACAGAGGTATAGTAGGAGGGCAGAGAGAATATGCAAGGGTCCATAAGCCCCATATCTCCGCTGTCTCCAGCCGGCTAGAATAGCCATACGATCCACATTCTAGCGTCCTTGCAAGCGGGTATTTTGTCTCCATCATTGGAATAAATTAACACTATGACAAAGTTCCCGCGTTGGGGATTCTGGGGGGTATATCTCCCAACTAGAAGAGAAAAAGGCTTTGCTCCTCCAGCCATGCGCGAAACAACAGGATGTTGATTGGGCCTTAAATTCTAGACCATATCCGTAGGGCCAATCGGCACATTCGGATATGGCAAACGCGGCGGGAAAACAGAGTGACGGGTGTTTCGAGAAGCCGAAGCTATATGCAAGATCCCTTCCGCACCCCGGCATTCCCATAGGGCTGAGAGCTGACGGGGCGGAAACGGGACGGAGAGAGTGTAATTGTACGTTTTCCAGGATAAAAAGGAAAGTAAAAAGGAAAGAAATAGCCGGAATTATCCAATTGGTTTAAAACCAAGAAGTGGATTGTTTGCATCCAATACCGGAAAGAAATATTAATAAACAAATGAATATATAGAAAATTAAAAGCAGACATAGCTACATAGAAGTGGTTTGCCTGGCATTCCCGTATTCCTAATGTCTATGGCTTGGGGCACAGGTGTTCACCATTACATTAGTAGGACTATTGTGACCTTTCAAATGTAGCAGTGATGTGCTAGGAAATCCTAGTACATGATAGTTTAGTTCAGGAGCATCTTTAAGTCCAAAGACCATCCCCATCGCGAAGCCATCAGTAAAAGAAGAACTGCAAAGAGTAGGTGGCTGGAACTGCATCCAACTGTAGTAAACCAACTAACTAACTAGCCCTTATTGGGTCTAGCTATTTGACCAGCTGCAAACTAACTGTTAACTAACTACCTAAGTTGCTAAGTTAACTAGTTAAGTTATCTAGTTAGTTACCTAGTTAATTATCTTGGCATCATGAAGTCAAGAAGAAAATGAAGTTTGAGGAGTAGCCAGCAACTACAAGAAGGTTATAATATATCCTAGAACAGGTTGTGTGCAATTCTGCTTGTCTATATATTTTTTTTCTTTTTATGGTATCATTCAAGCCATTTGTCAAGATGGCATCCAAACTTGTACCGCGTCAGGTTTGCTCAGCATTCGCACGCCCTTTGCGCTGTTGTACACCATATTCGCTTCGCCCAATCTCTCGCGTGCAATCTGTTTCCCAACGAGATATGTCCACTGAAGTTTCCACTGAGAATGGAGTTCCAGAACCCCCTTCGGTACCTACACCCAGATGGAAGCAGACACCGCCGGCAATGAAGGCTCCTGTCCGATTACGCGGACCTGAAGATAAATTTGAAGTAAATTCGGACCCCGAGAAATTAGATAAATTCTACATTAGGATGTTAGGAGAAGGGGGAGATGAAATGCTCTCTGAGGAGGTTAAATGGCAAGCTGTAACGCACAAAAGCTTTGATCAAGGAAGAAGAGGATTTAATGATCGGTTGGCATATCTTGGTTTGTCATAACGCTTGTTTGCAGGTTTATTGGGAACAACACAGACTTACACAATACTACTAGGCAAACAACTAGTATCCCTGCAGGCGACTCTCGCGATCATACAGGATCCTGCTTCTTATTCGCAAGTGCGGTCGGAAGATCCTCATGGGCGGGTACCGTTTCAACATCCAGTACTAGAAGGCCTAGAGGTGCTCTCCGGTTCGGCAGCAAAGGACTTGACCCAAAAGAAGAGAATGGCCGCGTTAGCCAGACAATATGACCTTCATGAAGTACTACGTTGGTTACCGAGAATGGTGTGCTTCGTCAATTACCCTTTTAAGTATTTGTTCCAGGCATGCTGACGAAGTAATTCTGCTAGCCTAATCACTTTACGCAGTCTGGAATTGATGTTGTTTTGACACAGGCGATGTATGCAATCGTGGGAGCTGTATCGCTGGAAAAAGGAGGCTCTGTCGCAAATGAGATATCTCGAGAACGCATACTTAAACCGTTGGGATTTAAAATCAGCGGGCGATTAGAATGATGGAAGTGTTTGAAATATTTGAGAGGTTTTATTGGCATTCGAATGGCGTTTTGAGGAGATCTGGTCTTTTCTTAGACCCATGTATTAACAAATACGACTTCCATACTAGAGTAATGTATATTAAAAAGGTTAAAAAGAAAGATGTTAGATTTCTCTGACACTGGCTGCGCAACAGAATAAAATACACAGTCAGCTCTTTTGAAATCGCCCGAAAACTTGGTCTCTGCACCACATATCGCAAGGTTCAGCAATTGAAATCCTATAGAATTGCCTCCAGCAGAAAGCTAGAAGTAAGATATAAGAAAGCCAGGAAAGGCTTTTGTTGGCTTGCACTGTCTTTAGGGTGCATTTGTATTAATGAAAGAAGAGAAAGAGGCTGAGAGAATTGGAAGGCTTTTTAAAGGCCCTGGCGAGCTAGTCTGAACGCGGACTAGTTCCATTCTTCTAGTGTTTATCAAATCAACCCCCCCCAATCCGAAATGGACAGGTGATGGTATGCCCCCTTATACTCCGTGCTCGCCTGCTAGCTGTCTTTTGGGCCTTGATAAGAAATTGTCAAACCAACGAAACGAATCATTGACTTTTTACCCGCACGGCTTCTTTCAAAAACTTGCACCACCGTCGAGATCGTGCCCAACGGGCATGAACTCACTGAACATCGTCAGCCTATAGACATTACGTGTAAATAGCAATGGCATCAGCACTTTTCTTCCTAGATTTGAAGGGCAAGGTATTTTTTGATCCCAGGCGCCGCGTGCCTGCCCGGGCTTTTCTTTACGCCATAATGACTTACTGACTTACCATAGACCCTTCTGGCGCGCAACTACCGCGGAGACATTCCCATGTCTGCCGTCGAGAAATTCCCAATCCTTTTAAGTGAGGCGGAGGAAGAAAGCTCGGCAGTGCCCCCTTGTTTTTCCTCAGAAGGCATTAACGTTTGTATCCCATTGGTCACTATATAGCGCCTTGTTATACCTATTGCTAATTGCATCATGCATTGTCTTAGTACCTTTATATCCGCCATAGCAACCTCTACCTCTTAGCTTTAACGAAGCGAAACACAAATGCTGCTGAAATATTACTTTTCCTCCATAAGATCGTCGAAGTCTTTACAGAATACTTCAAAGAATTGGAGGAAGAGAGCATACGTGATAATTTTGTTATCATATACGAATTACTAGATGAAATGATGGACTTTGGATATCCGCAGACGACAGAAAGCAAAATATTACAAGAGTATGGATTCACTAGTGGAGCTCATCAGAAGACACGCCAATTAAAACGGCACTAACACGTTCTTGGTAGGTACATTACGCAGGAATCGCACAAACTGGAAATACAAGCAAGACCACCTATTGCTGTAACGAATGCTGTATCATGGAGGAGTGAAGGTATCCGATACCGGAAGAATGAAGTATTCCTTGACGTGATCGAGTCATTGAATCTGCTAGTCTCGGCCAACGGTAATGTCCTGCGCTCAGAGATCCTTGGGGCTATTAAGATGAAGTGCTATTTGAGTGGTATGCCGGAACTACGATTAGGATTAAACGATAAAGCCATGTTTGAAACGACCGGGCGAGCGACAAGGGGCAAAGCAGTAGAAATGGAAGATGTCAAATTCCACCAGTGTGTTCGATTATCTCGATTTGAAAATGACCGGACTATCAGTTTCATTCCGCCGGATGGAGAATTCGAACTCATGAGTTATCGATTAAATACCCAAGTGAAGCCTCTGATATGGGTAGAATGCCTTGTAGAGTCACACTCTGGCTCGCGGATCGAATACATGCTTAAAGTCAGTATCACTAAGCTCGCCTCGTACCTGGTGTTCTTGTAGCTTGCGTTTACTAATCTATGCTTCCAATTTATCTAGGCTAAAGCACAATTCAAACGCCGTAGTACAGCAAATAATGTGGAGATTTTGGTTCCAGTACCTGAAGATGCAGACTCTCCTAGGTTTAGAACAAACATTGGTACTGTTCATTATGCTCCCGAGAAATCAGCAATTATTTGGAAGATCAAGCAGTTTGGTGGTGGGAAAGAGTTTCTCATGCGGGCTGAACTAGGGTTACCGTCTGTCAAGGGTGATGACGAACATGGTGGAGGCATGACTGGCGGGTTTGGAGGAAGTATGGGCGGTGCGGGTCAAAGTGCTAAAGGCAAACGACCCATTAACGTCAAATTCGAAATTCCGTACTTTACAACTAGTGGCATCCAGGTTCGCTATTTGAAAATTATTGAGCCAAAGGTATGTGCGCTACCGCATTTTCTCACATCATTAACATCAAGGTCCCTCTCCCAATTTTTTATATTTGATGGCATTGCCGCATTTTATGGGGTACCTGATCTCAAGGCCATTTGTCGTGTTTCAACCGGTCCTCGCTGGCTGATTGACATGCACTTCTCCGCCAAAGCCCCTTTTACTTGCCTCCTTGCATATATCCAGGCTGCAGTGCAGAAGTCTGCCCTTCGTTTAGTGTTAACATACATGGTATTATGTGGCCGGAATTCACTGACTTTTTGGAATAGCTTCAATACCCGTCTCTCCCTTGGGTTCGTTATATCACTCAATCAGGCGACATTGCTGTTCGTTTACCCGACGTCCAGTGAGGAATACGTTCACCTAAAATACTTTACATAAACAAGGCAATTCGATTGTCTCCACGCTGTTATTTGCTATGCCTGCTGCATATCTAACCCTCTTGGGCTCCGCAATATGTGTAAACTTCCCGTTACATTCTCGTCTACTGCCCTGGCGTCTTCTCGGGCCTTCAAATTGAACAGAATCTCTCCAAATACAGATTGTCCCATACAATCAGCCAAGACTTCAAATGGTGGACATTCTCAATCTTGATGTCATCAGAAAGTATTGCACACTTACCATTTTGAGAAAATGTTGGCCAAACAGAGAACTCCCTTTACTGAAGAAACTGTCACAAAATACAATCAGAAGCGGGTATAAATAATAGGATTGATCTAGGGCCTAATATAGAAAAAAGTTTTATGCAGAATGCAAGCGGGTGAATCGGAAACAAAATCAGTGTCAATATATACCAACTTAGCGCAAAATATGTACGCAAGGAAGGAAGCGAGCGATTATACAATTTGTTCCAGGGGCTATCGGTTGGATCATATCAGAGCCTATCCTTCGATTATAGGACCATATATACCCTTCTGGTACTCCCATAACTCTTGTTCTGTAATCTCAGAGTCGGGGTCAAGGCTGATTGACACGATCACTCCCGTGCGATGTTTTCCTAAAATGGTTAGAGCTACTGCCATGACGGATATACTGAAACGGGGAATGCTGACTTATGGTTGGTAGCATGTGAGGTTTCCACTTTGGTGGCTTAAAGCAGGTAGCAATAACAGCCATCACATTTCGTACATTGAGCGGCTCAATAACGGAGGAAAAGGCTGCAAATGCTAGTAGCAAAGAGAGGTCCCCAGCGATCCCAGCATTGGTGACATGCATGTGATCTTGATTTTGGGAATAAGTCTCTGGGATGAGTTGAGGCATCCAAGAAGTCGAACCTGTACCCGCAAGAACGTTGTATTCCGAATCAAAGCTCATAACTGAAACTGGAGGATCATGATCCGTGTATCGAAACATGACTCTTCGCCAGCCAAGGCCGTCTCTTTGTCGAGAGATTTGTACACTAGATCTGCGACAGTCGAATGGGACTCCTAAAAAGTGATGATTTTCTGAATTGTAAAATAATGAACTGGTTTGAAGCTCGTTATGAACCACCTCTCTAGGCCTCTTCAAGCCATCTACCGTCCAGCGAACCCACCCGGTTGAGCCCACGGTGGCGATTGCGGCGGGAAGCGTCGGTGGGATCCAAGTTGAATCTCTCCGCCGAATTTCGGGCTGCACATCCTCGTTAGGTTTGATAAAGTCAATTTTGAATAAGAAGGACAAAGGAATCTGAGTATATGTAGACATCTCGTAGGATCAGCGATGCATACAGTTTTATGGAAGGCTGTGGCTTAGGAAATTTGCGGCTCATGGGCGGTGTAACCTTGATCTTATGCCGAAATGCCAGTTGAAGCCAAATGAAAGTGGAAAGTTATTTTTGCCAGCAGAGCATCGGAAGCTCCTCCAGATGATTCCTATCAGTTTATGGGACATGATTTATAGGCGGGGTCGTAATCAAGTCTCGCCTTCCGCCTGCGAAGTAGATGGTTAAAGATCACCAATAATGTGACCTGACGAGGTCCGGCGTTATTCGGCGCCATATAAAGGCCGTGGAGCTGCGTGGCTACCCAACAAACGTTAAAATGATAGGGTTAGATCCGTGGCTCCATAATTGGTGGGTGAATATTGCGGGGAGAATCGAATCCATGTTTACGCAATCGAGTTTGGTCAAATCTTGTTGACCGGGTTGACCTGAACCGAAAGCCAGCGCGATACGAGCCTGAGGAGAAGATTTGTTGGCCAGGGCAAGGGATATGGATCACGATATGCATGATTGTACACCATGAAGGAGAACACAACCCAAGGGATCACACTGAGACTGAGACAGCCAAACAAGAAGAAAAGTCCATAGGGGAAAAATCGATAGCTGTTTTGGAAGTTAGTGTGTAATACATTTTAAGATCCATTTTGTTCGATCAGGGCCCTGGCTAGGCTTGTCTTCAAGGTATCGAGGCCAAGGAAAAAGACGTGGATTCGGGTATTCGCTGAAGAAGCTCTAAAAGTCAACCCCGAAATGCTGATGCTGCTATCCAATGAGGTGCAGTGGCATGATAGGCCGGGGGCGGGGATAGGAGTCAATACAAGGTTCGTTAAAATGCAGCTTTGTCTTCAGTCAGAATTGATGGCCATTTTTGCACGAAGTAGATGAGAGACTGAAGATAATATGTGATTATAGCAAGAGATGAGGGAACGGATCCATTTAAGGCGGCCAGCTTCGAGGGAGTACGGGGTACGTCGCGTAATCCACCCTTGTCGGCCGTGGAAATCTTCTCACGTCTTAGCCTGGTTGCCTTTTGGTTGCCTTTTTTTTGCGTTGGCAAGAAAAGAAGCAAGGAGTGTCCACCAACAGGGAGGACGCGGCACGCTGCTGGACCTCGTTACCCAGGCTATTTGAGGGTGTCTGAGATGTTCTTTTGACATATTCTGTTCAACCCAAACGGGCGAACCCGCGCCAGAGCGAGAACTCGGGCACAGTGTTTGAAACATCGACGACCGTGAATACGCCTGTGTCCGTAACTGTGCTATGTCGTGAATAGTGAGACAGCCATAAATGCGACGCGCGCTTAGCCTGGTGCCCCCTTCTCAGGCACCTGCATCCATACATGATGCTAGTATGTATATAATGTTCCTTGAGCAGATGATAAGCACCGGAAATGCTGTCTCGATGTTGCGGCGGGATTTTAATGGTCGTCGAGTTAAGTTTCTGACAGGCGAAGCCGTAGAAGCCTCCGCAAATCTCTTGTGAGTTAACAACTCTCCTTTACCTTTGTTTCTTAACGATCAGTATGCAGCAGGATACTCCCATTTGCGTCGAATCTGGCCCCTAAGCTGTGAGCTGTGAGATCTCGCCATCCACGCAAACTCCGCTGATTGAATTGCCAGAAGCTGCATTTCAACTTGGAGAGGTGATGGGGATAATCGTCTGGGGCTGTCAAAGCACTTCGCTCATCCCATTACACTTCCATGCCGCTCTCCATGAACTAGCAGAGCATATTTCCTTACGCCAGTTGGTCAGCTATCTCTAAGACCTCTTATTTCGTATCAGGGTGACGACCGCAGCCTTGGTATGAAAGAGAGCATAATCGCGAATAGTTCAAGATACAATGTCATCGCCCGTGGCGATAGGCGAGTTCCCAATTTTTTGCAGCTGGCTTCGCGCATGCTTAGACATAATACGGCAAGCTAATTCAGCTCACGCTTCCCAAAGGGGGCACTTGCTGAGTATTTCTATCCTATTCTATTATATTAGGAGAACTTCGTGTGGAGATGTGAGTTTTCGGAATGGTTTGAAGCTTCTTGCTATTCTCTATAAATGGGTTCTATGTACGCAGTACCTCTCTGGAAACATCATTCTCCCAATACCGCGGGTTCTCTATTTTAGTTATATTTGTTTCTGATGGGAGCTGAAATCAACCACCACACTTCGGATATTAATCACAGCTTTCAACAAAAATTTCCTCCTTAACCTTCTCTCAAACATCTGGCTCTATTTTGGCGCGCAATAGCACCTCCTTACTTTGCGACAGGCTCCTGAAGAAGCTTCAAAATGATCCGGCCGATATGCGTCGGCCAGCGGTAGTCAGATGTCTCAGTCTCCGCCACCTCCTGAACCCTCTAATCATAAAAGGGTTTCACCGAAATGTCACCTCTCTTTTCCAAAAATTAGATTCTTGTAGAAAATGTCTCCCGCGATAACAACGTACCTATATGTCCTGCTTTGGCCTGTCTCCAGTCTTTGCTTGAACAATATCGAAGTTCGGGTTTTTGTTATTTGATTATAGATTCCTTCTTTGACATTTTTTTATCGGCTGCCAAATCGTGCTCGAAGATTCTATGCTCTCAAAAGAATGTGTAGTAGGGGGTCAATCTTAGGTCCTCCTTGGTATATAGACTTCAGTACCACATTAGCATTCCACGTCACCTTTAGGCCACTAATAAAGAAATATTAGCAGGGAACGCTGACACAGCTCTAAGGGTCTCTTGCTTCGGTTTAAAATTGTCTTGATTCATCCTATAGAATTAGAAATTTATGTGACATCACAGACAGTTCGATTTGGTTGCTACCCGGCTGATATGTGAGTGTGTTGGTGATATATTAAAACGATTTCAAACTTTAATTCCTATCACTGTGTTCGTTGGTACTCCGTATGCACAGGCTTATCAATTCGCTCCACAGCTCTATAATCGTTTTCGCTTCATTGGTACCATGAGGCTTGAATGTCCTAGTGAAGGTCTATTTAGTATCAGATATTTGATGCAAGGCAAAAAAGTGTGGATACTTCTTAAGCTCTTCATAGGGTTAACTAACTAGTTGTTGTTCAAGTTAGTTGGGCCAAAATAAAATCCGTATTTAGTGCGCCATCCCTTGCACGATCGGATTTTAATAGACTTCGAAGGCTTAAAAAGAGAGTTCATCACAACACGGACGTCAATGGTGCCAAGCTGGACGACAGCTCTCTCGGGATCATGGCGTATAAAGTGGCCCCTCTTGCAAGGGAGGACGTTTGATCATTTCAGCGATGCTGGTGGACTTGTCTACCAACTCCTCGTAATCGCCAAACACACCAAATACCCCGACTATTGGTTGAAACCAAATAGTTAGTAGTTGGATTTTATTTTGTTTTTAATTGCACTGGTCGCAACACTGCATTTTAGAAGCAGCCTGGCTGTAGCTGATGAGGCTTTAGTAAGAGCTCCGATTGATGCAACTTCAAGCTACTATATCTGACTTCTCGGTCTCCTCGAGCACGGAGAAAATGTGAGCACCAGGATGGAAAGGTAAAGATGATATGGAACTCTTCGTTCACTGTATATTTACGGATGTTATTTATGGTCACTTCAATAATATAGCCGGTTCTGTGGAGGTTGAGCCTCGTTTTGATCTCGTCTGTAGTAGAAAAGGCCTGAAACCTAAGCAGAGTGGATGTCAGCGCGCAGAGACCACAGCGGCCGGGGACAGTTTCATTATACTAAAAAGAATACTGGGTTCGGAGATCTGGGGTGAGTCACCAGTGACTGATCGGGGAATCGGCACGCCTCTTTCTTTGTTTGCAGTCTCAGAATCGGAGTCGGAAGACTGTGAATGCTTATCAGCACTAATGAAGCTCGGGCAGGCTATAGCCATAGTTAGATGAGCTTGTCCGCGGCGCCGAGAGATAGAAGTCCTTAGTGGTGTAGTGGTTAACATCGCTGTCTCTCACACAGCAGCCCTGGGTTCGATTCCCAGCTAGGGAGTCGAGGTCTCCTTTTTGCGCTTTTTTGCGCTGTTTTGTTTGCTGTGTTGTTCGCGGAGCGCGGGCCGCTCGGACCTGGTGGTCGGCCTTTGCGGGCCCTGAATGGAGTCAGGGCTCGGCGCCGCACGTGATGCCTATCGTGATTGGCTGGGCAGTCCGCGTTGCCCCGGGCCGGCACCTGCCGAACCCCGCTAAGACCGGCATTTGCTGACTCGCTGTTATCTGATCCGGTTTCCCTTGCTTAAGACCGTTCCGCCAAGGCCCCGGATGCGCCGACGCCCTTTCGACTCTCAATTTCCCGTCTTTGAGGCGCGGCTCCTGGTGTGCCGGCCGACAACATCTCCGTAGCGATGTTTTGCTGTTGGTGTTGGTTGTTATTATTTTAATATTGCTCCGTTGAGCTGAGAGCTAAGAGCTGAGAGCTGATTATCAATGTTGCCCCTGTGGGTCAACTTTACCAGGCTTCCAAGCTCCATCGGCCTTGGAGAAGGATTTTTCGATTAGCTTCGTATTCTTGGAAAAAACTATTTATTAATTAATAATGCCCTTTGCGATTGACATCACATACATCCTTTCATAAAACCATTGGCGTCTAGCTCTTTTGTGCTCACTGGTGATGCACAAATCTATTTTATATGTGGAGTTTTCCACATAGCAAATAGACTGGCATTTGCTTCTTCTCCTTTGCCTATTTCTCTCCCACATAATATAATTTGCCACCATATTGGACCATATTCTCTTCACTTTCATTTCCTGTAGTTACGTACTTGCACACATCCTTTCTGGCTCTCGCCCGAAGATACCCGTTTTCTTGAAAATGGGCTCTAGGGATTTCTCCCCGCATACTCGGGACCCAACAGACAGTTCGGACGCAGAAACATTGTTCCCCGGCAATGACTATGAGACAAAGCGAGAGAATTTAAGAACCATACACTCTCAGGGGCAGCCTCGCCCCTTCACTGGTGTCGATGTTAAGAGGGCTGAAGAGGAGTTTGCCGAATTGAGCAAACAGCTTTCCGGTATCTCGGAACGCGCTAGGCATTTAACACACCAGCAATCAAATCGAATATCTGTCAAATCCGCTAGAGATCTAGAAGAGCCCCCGGCTGATGGAGAACCATTTGACTTGGAGACGGCTCTTCATGGCTCGCGAACCGCAGAAGCTGATGCTGGTATTCGACCCAAGCGAATCGGTAAGATTGGAGCTTTCGCTTCCTTACGTCATTTGGCCTGAGCTAACTGACTGTCAGGCGTTATTTGGGAAGGCCTGTCCGTCCGAGGTATTGGCGGGGTGAAGAATGTTGTTCGAACGTTTCCAAATGCTGTCATAGACTTTTTCAATATCCCGCAGACAATTATGCAGATTCTTGGCCTTGGAAAGAAAGGTAAAGAACTTGAGATTTTGAAGAATTTTAAGGGCCTCGCAAAACCTGGCGAAATGATTCTTGTTCTTGGTAAGCCCTCATCTGGATGCACGACCTTCTTGAAAGTGATAGCAAATCAACGCTTTGGATACACCGGGATCGACGGCGAGGTTTTGTATGGTCCATTTGATGCAAATACCTTTCAGAAACGCTTCCGAGGCGAGGCTGTCTACAACCAGGAAGACGATGTGCATCACCCCACCTTGACCGTTGGCCAGACCCTAGGATTTGCGTTGGATACTAAAACTCCTGGAAAACGTCCTGTTGGCGTATCCAAGGCTGAGTTCAAGGATAAGGTACATACCTCTGAGTTTCCCAAGATCTAACAATATAAAATATTAACATTGCTTTAACCAGGTGATCCGCCTTCTTCTGAAGATGTTTAATATTGAGCATACGATCGATACTGTAGTCGGTAATCAGTTCATCCGTGGAATCTCGGGTGGAGAGCGAAAGCGTGTTAGTATTGCAGAGATGATGATTACATCTGCCACAGTGCTGGCTTGGGATAACACTACTCGTGGCTTAGATGCCTCAACTGCGCTTGACTACGCAAAGTCGCTTCGTATAATGACCAATATTTACAAGACTACCACCTTCGTATCGCTATATCAGGCATCTGAGAACATTTATGAGCAATTTGATAAAGTGATGGTTGTGGATTCAGGCCGCCAGGTATACTTCGGCCCCATAGGCGAAGCACGAGCCTATTTTGAGAGCTTGGGATTCAAAGAAAAACCGCGTCAAACTACCCCAGACTATCTTACCGGCTGCACGGACCCCTTTGAAAGGGAATACAAGGAAGGCAGAAATGAGCATAATACGCCGTCAACTCCAGATGCCCTTGTTCAGGCCTTCGAAGAGTCATACTTCAATAGATTGCTAGAAAAAGATATGGAAAAATATCGGGCCCAGCTGGTTGAAGAGAAACACGTCTATGATGATTTCGAAACTGCTCATCTTGAAGCTAAGCGCAAGTATACATCAAAATCGTCTGTGTATTCAATTCCCTTCTACATTCAGGTTTGGGTCCTCATGCGGCGGCAGTTCTTTATTAAATGGCAGGATAAGTTTTCACTCGCCGTTTCATGGATAACTTCTATCGGCGTGGCTCTTGTTCTCGGTACTGTGTGGCTTCAACTTCCAAAGACTAGTGCCGGTGCCTTTACTCGTGGTGGAGTCTTGTTTATTTCTTTGTTGTTCAATGCCCTCCAGGCCTTTGGTGAGCTCGCAGCAACGATGATGGGACGGCAAATCGTAAATAAACATCGAGCATTCACTTTCCACCGCCCGAGCGCTCTTTGGATTGCCCAAATTGGCGTCGACTTGACATTCGCCTCGGTACAGATATTCATCTTCAGTGTCATCGTCTATTTCATGTGTGGCCTTGCTCTCGATGCGGGTGCCTTTTTTACCTTTATTCTTATCATAATTACTGGGTACCTTTCGATGACGTTGTTCTTTCGCACTGTTGGCTGCGTTTGCCCTGATTTCGACTACGCACTAAAGGGTATATCGGTGCTTATTACACTGTTTGTTGTAACCTCTGGTTATCTCATACAATGGCGAGATCAGCAAGTGTGGCTTCGATGGTTTTTCTATGTCAACGCAGTGGGCCTTGGATTTTCCTCCCTGATGATCAACGAATTCAAGAGACTCACCATGAAATGTACGGCGGACTCCCTCATCCCAGCAGGGCCAGGATATACGAACGTGTCTCACCAAGTTTGCACTCTTCCGGGTGGTGAGCCGGGTTCCAGTATTATACCTGGCTCAAATTATCTTAGCCTTCACTTTCAATATTACCCATCGGATCTTTGGAGAAACTGGGGCATTATGGTTATTCTCATTATTGGTTTTCTATGTGCGAATACATATCTAGGCGAAACGTTGATGTATGGTGCTGGAGGGAAGACAGTAACATTCTTTGCAAGAGAGACAGACGAGCTAAAGAAACTTAACCAGAAACTTCAGCAAAGAAAGCAGAACAGACAGCAGACGAAATCAGACGAATCTGAATCACCCCTTAAAATCGAATCAAAGTCCGTTTTATCTTGGGAGAACCTTTGCTATGATGTTCCTGTTCCTAGTGGTACCCGGCGCCTGCTCAGCGACGTTTTTGGATATGTGGAGCCTGGAAAGCTTACAGCCTTGATGGGTGCTAGCGGTGCTGGTAAAACCACCTTGCTTGACGTCCTCGCTTCGAGAAAGAACATTGGCGTCATCACCGGCGATATTCTGGTCGATGGTCGTATGCCAGGTTCAGCATTTCAGCGCGGAACCTCGTACGCAGAGCAGCTTGATGTTCATGAACCAATGCAAACCGTGAGAGAGGCCTTTCGATTCTCAGCTACGCTTCGTCAATCTTATGAAATTCCTGAAGAAGCGAAATTTGCATATGTTGAGGAGATTATTTCCTTGTTAGAACTTGAAAACCTGGCGGATGCGATTATTGGTACTCCAGAAACGGGGTTGTCGGTCGAGGAGCGAAAACGTGTGACTATTGGAGTAGAACTTGCGGCTAAACCTCAGCTATTGTTGTTTTTAGATGAACCAACGTCTGGCCTTGACAGCCAGTCTGCTTTTAATATCGTCCGCTTTCTTCGAAAGCTCGCTGCTGCTGGCCAAGCTATTCTCTGCACTATCCACCAACCGAATTCTGCGCTGTTTGAGAACTTTGATCGACTCCTTTTACTTCAGCGTGGTGGCCAATGTGTTTATTTTGGGGATATTGGAGAGGATGCGCGTGTGCTCCGCGATTATTTTCACCGAAACGGAGCGGACTGCCCCCAGAATGCAAACCCGGCGGAATGGATGCTGGATGCAATTGGTGCTGGACAGGCCCCTCGGATTGGAAGTCGTGATTGGGGAGATGTTTGGACCACATCTCCTGAACTCCAGCAGTTAAAGCAGACTATTCTTGCAATCAAAGCAGAACGCATCCAAGAAAACGACGCATCATCTACTCCCCAGGGCACTGAAGCTGAGTACGCAACTCCTCTTTGGCATCAGATTAAGGTAGTGTGTAAAAGAACGAACCTGGCCTTCTGGCGGTCTCCCAATTATGGATTTACTCGTCTTTTCAACCATGTTGCCTTAGCCCTGATCACTGGGTTGTGCTTCCTTCAACTAGACGAATCTCGATCATCGCTTCAAAACCGTATCTTCGTCCTTTTTCAGATTACGGTCATTCCGGCACTTATTCTTGCTCAGGTAGAACCCAAGTATGATATGTCACGCCTAATTTTCTACCGTGAGTCTGCAGCAAAAGCATACAAACAATTTCCCTTTGCTCTTTCTATGGTACTTGCGGAAATTCCGTACAGCATTCTCTGTGCCGTCTGCTTTTTCCTTCCAATTTATTATGTTCCGGGGTTACAGTCAGCTAGTAGCCGAGCAGGATATCAGTTTTTGATGGTATTGATTACTGAAATATTCTCTGTCACCTTGGGCCAAATGATATCCGCCTTGACTCCGAGTACGTTCATTGCCGTACTCCTAAACCCGCCTATTATTATTATCTTCTTTCTTTTCTGTGGTGTCTCCATCCCTAAACCTCAAATTCCCAAATTTTGGCGTGTCTGGCTCTATGAACTTGACCCCTTTACTCGACTAATGAGTGGTATGATTGTTACCGAGTTACATGAGAGGCAAGTGACTTGCAAACCAGAGGAATTGAATCGATTCACCCCACCTCCGGGACAAGATTGCGGCTCGTACATGAAGAACTTTTTTGCAAACGGTGGATCTGGATATCTCATTAAAAACACTACCGATGCCTGCGAGTTTTGTGCTTATAAGATTGGAGACCAATTTTATAAACCCTTTGGAATGAACTTCGACAATCGATGGAGAGATCTTGGAATCTTCCTATGCTTTATTGCATCGAATTTGATTCTGTTGTTTATTGGAGTAAGCTTTCCTCAAGGTCTTGTCCACTGTACGTATACTAACCCACACATTTTTCCCAGTCGCGGTATCTAAACTTTAACCGAAGATGAAGGATGTTTTTGGTAGGAATAAGGGAGATCACTTTCAGCCTTTACGGAGTATAGTAGAAGTAACTACACCTCAATCCATTTGCCCCCAAATCTTCCCCCTACACGTATTATTTTCTAACCGCAAAGATCGTTAATAATGCTTTCTCTATGCGTTTTCCGTCATCACCAGAAAAGCTTAATTTTAGAGAATAGATTTAGGAATTTTGTTTTCGTTAGGCACAGCGCCGTTCTAATTTATATGTATATACATTCACTGTTTGTTGAGTGGTTACAGAATTCTAGGCTGTTGGCCTTGCGTCGTGTCTCGACAGTATGAGTGTACGAAGTATAGTAATCAAAGCCAAAGTACAAAAATGGTCTATGTACATGAAAGATCAAAATATATATAAGAAGATTGACTATGATGTTTCTCCCTCTTCATCAACATGGTGTTTCCCAACTATGGAAAGGAACACTTGGTCTAGAGTTGTCTGGCTAACAGAGTAAAACTCGATGCCGAGGTCTGCCTTAGATTCTTCTAGAAGAGAAAACACTTTGCTGATATTTACGCTTTCAGCATTTCTTTGCAGAGAAGCATCCTCTACATGAGGCGAAATGCTATCTAGATGGTCTGATGTGGTAATTTCCGGAAGAGCGCCGGCAGTGGACGAACCTGGACTCCGAATACTAAAACGTAACTGTCCGTGATAGGTCTTTTGCTCGATCGAGGTACCCGGAAAAACATCCGACACCCAACTACGGATATTCTCCATGTCTTGGTCAGAGGTATGTGGCGCTGATTTGTGTACAACATGAATATAATAAGCATTGCCGTGTCGCCTGCGCAGGTAGTCAGTGGTTCCAAGGGCAAGCATCCTCTTTGCCATGATGCCCGCACGGTTTGCAAGGGCATCTGCCTCTTCCATAGAATGGGTTGTTAAGACAAGGGAACGCCCTGGAACCACTGAAGCGAGCGTGCGCCACATAACTCGCTTAGACGCTGCATCCATACCAGATGATGGTTCATCGAGTAAAAGCACGGTTGGGTTACCCATTAATGCAATTCCAAGAGACAGTTTTCTCTTATTACCGCCTGATAGTTTCGCTGCCATGCGGTTACGGAACGCAGTTAGGCCAACAGCACGAACAACTTCATTGACATTGTGTTCGACGTTAGACACGCCTCGGATACGAGCATAAAATCTTAGATGTTCGAGGACGGTCATCTGATCCATAGCATCAAACTGTGGGCATACGCCAAGATGGGCCCTTGCAGCAGCACGCTGTTTGATAACAGAGATGTTCTCAACAAGGATTTCTCCACCTTCACGGGAAGGTTGAATATCTCCCCTAATTAAACTAATAGTGGTAGATTTTCCAGCACCATTAGGACCAAGCAGGGCAAAAACTTCGCCTCGAGCCACCCCAAATGTGACATCCTGAACTGCAACAAATTTTCCAAACGATTTCGAAAGATGAAGGACTCTTAGGCCATCGTTAGAAGTGGATACCCGGGCGAGTTCGTCGTTGAGGTCCTTATCGGCGTGGATATCTGATTCAAAATCTTGGACTTTGGCTTCTTTTCGCCACATGGGAAAAACCGAGCCGGAGTCCCACCACAACAATAAGCTAAAAAGGAATATTGACTGGAGAGTAAGATATAAGATTGGGCCTCCGTAAAGAGTGATTTCTCCTGGATACGTGGCGACTTGCTTATCCCTACAGAGGATAGAAAATACGTTCAAAGCTGTGAATAGAGATCGAGTAATATTGCCGATTGGTGCAAGTGCTGCAATAACAAAGTGCACGATTTTCACGAGTGAATCTACTTGTGCAGCAGGAGCGTACGTTAAGACAGATAGGTATGCAATGAAGTAGAGTAGGAACACGACCCTATTGTATGTATAATGAGTCTAACCGACCTTGGCCTGGGAGGAAAAGGGAACTTACGATTGTGCTCCTGCAGCAAAGGCAAAAGCTGCCAGTTGGGATTTCGCGAGCCTTGACACAACATATGAAAACAAGGTCGACGCAATCCCATAAAGGAACAAAACAACAAATAAATATCCAGGATGATACCATGCGTCTGATACCCCTCTGAAAATGGCTGTCACTAAAACACTCACTGCGAGAACTAACAGAGAATCAAAGCAGAGATATGCTGTCCATAATGGGAGACTTCGGACGCCATTGCTATAATGCAGTGCACGGACGTTTCTAAGGCGTTCAACCGTGAGGTAGAGGGAAAAGAATGCCGGGTAAACTGACAAAGCAAGGCCGAAGTAGGTAATCAGCTGAAGAGCCTTTCCAGAATTTTGCGCAAATGGTAATTCAAAGCTCTGGTATTGAGTGCTTATCGAGACGTTTGTTAAAAGGTTATCCAGAGCATTTTGGACAATTGTCGGAAGCGATAGATCTGCATTCCCTTTCCAGGCGAAAGTGGGAGGAGAAGAGTCGTCTCCAAGGTAAAAGCCTCCTGGAGTCACATTTCGGAAGTTCTGATCAATATACCGGTTAAACTCTTCTAATGTGTTGACGAAATGGGTCTTGCTAAGTAGTAAAGTTGCATTAAGTTTTGACGAGGAAGAACCTGGCAGCGAGCTAGTGAATCTGCTGACAGAAGCTGGAGATATTTTGCTGGCTGGGCCAACAACCAATTGAAGGTTAAGTTGCGACAACAAGGACCCAACATCAAATTCAAACGATGTTCCTGGCCCAGAGCAGTTGGGCCGTTTAAAATCCTTTAGAAATAGTGTGACTAAGCCTGCGGCAATAATAGGTAGTAAAAACGCGGCGAGGTATGGAAGCCAATTTCGTCGTAGAATGGTGGCCCTTTTACGGAAGAGAATCCAAGTCTGTTGGGCAATCCCAATACGTTTCCCAGTCAGAAGATCTGGAACCTGCCTAGAATCATTCTTGTCGCTGGGCGCGTCGATATTGAGGGGATCGCTGGACCGCTGGACCTCTTCTGCCACTTTTAAGAACACATCCTCGATAGTGGGCCCACTGACACGATACTCTGAAATTCCAAGTTCCTCAAGCTTTGTGACAAAGTCAGCCGTCTGTGACGAGGTTGGGACGCGATAGACTATCTGATCGTCATGTATCTCAGTTGTAATGTCTTCAAACTGAGGTAGGGGCGTCTTCTCAGAGCCGGGGACATGATATACATGAATTCGATAGCCTGACCCAAGTTTATTCTTAAGCTCAACGCTTGATCCTATCCCTTTTAAGGATCCTTTTGATAAGATAGCGATATGGTCCGCCAGCAAATCAGCTTCGTCCAGAAAGTGAGTAGTTAGTAAAATAGTCCGTTGTCCTCGTTCTGCTAAAAGAATATCCCAAATCTTTCTTCTTGAGATTGGATCAAGACCGGACGACACTTCATCAACACAGCAAACAGACGATCCACCCGTAAACATCATTGCTAACTGGAGCTTCCTCTTTTGTCCGCCAGATAGCGTTCGTGCAGCAGCCTTCAGTTTCTTCTCTAGATCACAGTCTGCAACGAGTTGTGTAAGTTGTGCTTTGGTGTCAATGTCCGAGCTGGCCTTCAATCTATTGAAAATTTGAACGTGCTCCAATACGGTCAAGTGATCCCATAAGACATTTTTTTGAGGGCATAAGCCGAACCCGCCGGCCGCATCTGGGAAAGTAACAGCAATGGAACCAGCAGATATTTTCGAAAGGCCAGAAATTGCATCCAAAGTGGTAGACTTCCCACTACCATTAGCGCCAAGTAGAACCATGATCTCACCCTTTGCAACATCGAGATTCAAGTTATCAACGGCCAAAACCTCCTGACGCTGGCTACCAAATATTGAGCCGAATTTTCGATGAAACCAGTTGGGTTTAAAGGTTTTGGTGAAACCATTTAATGAAACTGCTGTCGGTGCGGTGCTGGATTTCGTGGTTTGGCGATCTTTTGATTGTGTCCCATGAAGTAATCGCTCTACCCAAGTACCCAGTACCGGATAGACTATGATTTGGATGATGCAGAACATCCAAAAAGCGATACCTGGGATCGTCCATGGGGACTCTGGAGCGGCCTTGATCATATTTGTGGGCAGATCTTGCCTCTCCCATCGAGCCATAAAAATTGTAAAATGAATGTAGTTCATCGGGGGGAAAAGCAGAGACAAAATTGCAACCCCAGCGTTGCTTCTTGGGCCAACAAGCTGTGAAATTATCCCCAATAAGAGACAAGCAATTGTCACAGATATGCCACTCAACTGTGATTTTCTGAAGAAAGAGGCACCGAATAGCGAGAATGAAGATAAAGAGAGGCCGGCAAGTAACTGAAAAATGACTTGAATACCTGGTGATGTCCTGGTAAAAACCCCAAAATTGAGGATGATCGCCATGACGATCCAGCCTGGAGCATAAATCGCATCTAAGGCGAGGTGTGCGGCGATGAAGCGGGTGGCTTGGCATTTCCAGTGTGCTGTATTTGGCATCATACAATCAATAAGTTGGCTCATACCCAGCTCTCTCTCTGCTGCAACTAGGCCGGTAAGCTGATATGTCACGCCCACGATTCCAACCAGGAAGGCAATGGCAAGGATATCAATAATTGCGCCCATATAGCGAATGCGAATTGTTTGTTTCCGTTCCTCTGCAGTTTTCGACGTATACGGATACTCCATGACCTGTACCAACATCAGCTAGGATATTAGGCATGAGGGTTTCGAATTACGAACCTGTCCTTGAGGAGGGTCGCCATTGCTTGAGTCAACAGATGCGATGGCCCAGTCAACTGCATGTTGAAAGGGAAGGACGTATATTTCAGCATCATTATCAGTGTCTCCAGTTCGAATCTTTCCTCGGCCTAAACCGCCATCCGCTTTGATTGTATAATTCCATTTCCTGCCGGGTCCTTCACTGGGAGACGAATAGAACACGGCTGCGGCTATGCATTGGGTTGTTCCCATTAAGGAACTCTTGCAAGTGTCCACCAACTGATCTGGGGAGGATAGGATTTCGACATTCTTGCCGCTGGACCTGATAGGTGTCGCAACTTGCGCAATGACACGGTCGATTTCCCCGCCGGTGAAACCACTGTTCACAAATACAAGTTTATCCCTTCCGCCTGCGGCTGCATTGAGTGCGCTGGGTAAGGATCGTATGGGAGTTGCCTTTCCGATGCCAAATTGGGCGGGAGGAATGAATAAATTACGAGCAAAGGCCCTTAATTTCAGCTGTCAGATGATTTAAAATTCAGGTGGAAAGTGAAAATGGGTGGATTTCGCGTTTACGTACAGAAATGCGATGAAAATGACAGGAAGGGTAAATGCGCGAGTGGTTGTTGAAAGTAAAGGTCGGATAAGCGTGATTAGGAGATTTTTGACAAAGAGAGTCCATATTTGTCTTAAGAATGCCATGATAAAAGGGGCTGAAAACCCAGATAACCGGGCAGTCAGGGAGAACAGAAGAGATCGCCACTGTCGAGAAATGCCATTCGGGGAAGAATATGTTGCACCCTTGCCGCGTTTCCTGTTATGCAGTCAACTAACTACGTCAGTTGCAGATCAACGATGCAGGATACTCGGGCAATATATAAAGTCCAGCCCAGGGTGAGGAAATAGCGAAATTGAGGTTAAAGAGCGGCGTGAGAAGTGACAGCGCTCGACGTGGTGGTAAGTAGTTAGCTGGATGATCGCAGCACAGCCAGCTCGCAAGGCTGTTTCATCGGGAATTCCGACCAAACCCACTTGGCTAAGAAGTCACTTAAAGGGATGTGAAAGCGCAGCTCGCTTCCCACGATGCAACTTCTTGGATTCGTGCCAGGGACATAATGATGCATAATTTTTGGATGGCGGAGCCGCCAGTGGCCAATTTCCAACCCCCGGCTTCCACAGCCTTAAGTTAGTGCTAGCGATTCCTGGCATAACTAACTAACTAGCCCACGGCTCATGGGGGCTTAGATGTGGGGCACTGACATCCTGGTTTGTGAAAACACTCACCACTCTCAAACTGCACAACGACGCGCCAGCCAGCGCGCTTTGACGAGCGTCGCAAAGCACACCACTGAGTGGCAGTGAGACAACTGAACCATCCCCAGCGGCTGCGTGGTGGACGAGCGGAGGTTGGACGTCGTCTCGGCCAAGGAGACCCACGTCGGAACTTCGTCGGCCCGAAAAACCGTGCATCCGCCAATCATAACCAAGATGCCACTATGGACTGCTTCTACATACGGAGCCGTATAGAGGAGTTTATTAAGAGCCGATTAAGCAGCTTTAACACAAAATTGGACTACAGCAGGAAAAATAAATCATCTTCGTGCAGGCCACATTGATCTCTTTCACTAACGGTGAAATTTTATAAAGGGGTCGACGAACTGGAAAAGATCCACAAGATTTTGACTACGAAATCTTGATAATGAAGGCCAGAAAGATTGATACTCGAAGACATGGATTCAGATTTACCCTGCTTTGAGCTTTTTGAAATGGCATATACCAATACACGAGAATTTAAAAAAAAAGGAGACATATGCTAAGGACGCCGAAGGCCGGCTTATGATTACCATGGTCGAGTATTAAGATGCGAGAATGATTGAAAAGGAACAAGAGAAGCTATGATGCCATTTAGCCTGGAGATATTTCCTAGCACCCGGCGTTAAAGGTACCTAAACTGTCCCAAAGCGTCTTGATGGAGACGGAATCGCATTCGTTTATGGTGTGGATCAGAGCCCCATTATGGATGTATGAAATGGTATCTAAATATCCCGTTGCGATCAGGCTTATTTGCTTTTATCGTGTGTGGGCTGAACCTATTTTCACTGCCTACAAGTTACTTCTGCAATTCTCTGATTTATCTCCAATGTCTATGTCTATTATTCCACTACTTTTGGAAAACTACCCCAAAAGAGGTCTTCTCAACTTCTAAAGTAAGCCCCGTCTTATCGTCTGCTTAATAATACCAATGTATGTCAGGCATAGCCATGCTCAATATGACAGAAGATACTCTCAATTTGATGCTATTGTCACTGCTGGACAGTTGGAAATGTATTCTTGAAGATCATCTCTTATAAATGAGAAGATAATCGATGGTATTATATGCTATAAAGGGTCTATTAAATATCCCTGATTGACGCTTTTAACTTAGGAGATTGATGGGAAAAAGTTATATTTCCAAACCGAACCTGCATGCCCAGCTCCTAGATATTTTTATTTTCAGAACAAAATAAGTTACTTACTTCATTTGGGGCATGGAGGTCGATCTTCCCAACAGTGGCACTAGGGCGATGCGGCTTACTTTCATACCTGCGCAAGTCAATGCCGGTTGCACTTGGGAAATAAACTGGCCACATATGCGGAGTGTACCCCCCAACCATTCTACGCATAAAAGGCTACTCTTGAAAACAGTGAATGCTGAGCTCAAGTACCTACCGAGAAAGAGAATGCTATGGCTTTAGCGCTTAAATTACAGCTCACGGAGGTTGACAGTAAAGATTTAGAAGACAAGGAGAGCGACGAAGACCCAGAATATTGTTATAATTGTATTTTGTGTTTTTGTATCTTCATTAAATGTATTGATTAGTGTCCCATCAATATCATGCAATGATCAATGAGGGGCATTTAGACTCCACTTTCATACTCTAATCTTACTGGACTACAAAACGTTCCTTGTGAGCCTTATACAGCGTAGATTTATCCAAAAGCTCGCCAGTAGAGGACCGCAGGAACTTGACCTCCAGGTTATTCGCGTCTTTGAAAGTGATTGTGGCGTAACTAAAGTCCTTATCGTATGCAAATGCATTGAATGACTGTCTAGTACCGACAGAACTAAGACCCTCGATGTTGCCTGCGCCACCGGCAACAATATACATGGGGGCCTTAGGGTTGTTCATGCCAGCGGGGTCAGCGGTATTTTTGTATACAGGCAAGAATCGCTGGGAGTTGTGTATATGGCCAAAGACACCTAGGTCAACACCATATTTGTAGAGGATATCCTCGAAAGCCTTCTGGCAGGGTGCACAGGAGGAGCCACCAGTTGTATACCAAGGACGATGACCAGCGATAATTACCCAAGGTGTGACGGTGCGATCGACTGACGCGAGATCAGCCTTCAAGAAGTCAAGCTGCTGGTTGGGAGCTCCGAAGGGGCCACTGTTCAACCCAGCAGAACCACCAGGGGCATCAGGAGCATCCATAAAGTCCGTTTCGGTGTTCATCATGACAACGTGTGCCATACCATATTCGAAGGAGTACCAAAAGGGAGGTTTGGCTAAGAGTTTTGCTTTGTTAGCATTGACTCGAGCGGCATTATCTGTAGAAGTTGAGTCAAATGCCTTTGGCATGGTATTTGCAAATCGCATCATAAAATCAGTGAAGTTCTTCTGCCCCTCTGGGCATAGGTTAGTGAGATGAGGCACTTCTGCGCAGACTGCCTCATGGTTACCAGGGCTGACCATATACGGCTTACGGCTGGCGATCGGTGCAAGCTGGCTGTAAAATTGTTCGTTGATAGCCTGGAACGCGTTGACGCCATCGAAGCGGTTTTTGGATCTGACAAACCAGTTATCGGCATAAGCAATATCACCGGGGTGAATAACAAATTCATAGTCATCAACAGTTTGCGCCAAGCGGCCAATTGTGGTGTGGTTGAGAGCAGGGTCAATAGTGGGGATCATATCGCGCTTGGTCTTATCCATCTTGATAGTAAAACCGTCTTCACCATAGACACCAAGGTCGATGACAGCATTCATAGAAAAGGAGCCTTTGTCACCGGGCAACCTGGGGCTCAAAAAGTGTTCCACAGTGGAGTTTGTGGAAACGATTTTATAGTAGTAGGTCGTCCCCGTCTTTAAACCGGTGAGAATCACGGCATGGCCCCAAGTGCGCGATGTTGGGTATGTCACGGAGTCCCTTGAGCATGCTTCTTGGGTGAGAGCAGACGCAGACAAGCCATATTGCACGCAGGGTTGGGTAAGCTGTTTGTATGTGTTCCAGCCAACCGAAACGCCTAGTTCAACAATGTCAGATCATACATAAAAAAAGCATGTCGTAAACGCACTTGTAGGCCCCATAATACCAAGGCGCTGCTGAACGGGAGTAGATAGATCCCTTGGCTTTGGCGGGTAGCTTGCTGCAGCCATGGCACCCGTCGCCAAGAGCACGACATTCCACAGGGAGGACATGGTGGGCAAAACCGTTTCTCTGTACTCCGTACAGGCTTGTAATTTTAGAAAGGAATGCTGCGATTTGCAATGGCACTGCTACTGAAAAGAGTAAGGCCATAGATGCGAGATCTGGGCCATCAATATATAGAGATCCATACTGCCTCTATGCTCTCGCACTCGTCACGAGGCGAAATGTGTCCGGCTCGCGGGGGATCTGGATTCTGCCTGACAATGTCGATCCCTTAGAACAGAATACGCATCTAGAAGCAGAGTAAAGTGATGCTGAAGAACACTGACCACTGTCAGGCCAATCGATAAGACACATGGCAGGTAGAGTCGTATCGGCAAATTGTGCAGGCAGGGTCAGGGAAGCTCATCCGCGAGGCGGACACATATCAGAATACCTCTTCAAGTAAACATGCTGGCCAATAGACGAGTGCATATTTGTCACGGATGGACCGCGCATCTCGGAGTAGTATTTGATTTCATAAAATGCCGAGGTCATTGGTGTGGAAGTGCAAGGTACGTATGCATCTCGCTGGTCAGTCGGGCCTGTGATTGATGACGGTAGTTATATCAGCGGCGAATTAGTTACAAGGGTTTCATGAGCGGGGCATACTCACCGGGCATGCAAGTCGATTTCAAGCTCGCCTTGAACGGTTTCTTGATGTTGTGACCCGACATTCCGTTAATTGAGATCATCAAAGTGCAAATAAGATTCTCTGAGTTCGGTTTAAGGTTGAAGCTTAGCTAAGGCTAAGCTGCCGACCAATTTGACTAGCTTAACAAGGGAAGGTGTTGTTCGCCCGGCGGCTGACGTCGGGCACCTATTATTATTCAAGGTTTTAAGGTTTGTTTATTTCGGGGGCGTGACCTTCGCCCCGCAAAAACCTTTATCAGTTCATGATTAGTAAGCATATGTGGCGGAATAAAGATGTCCCGTTAAAGCGGATTATATTCTCGCCGACGCCCGTTGAGCCTCGGGACAACCAGAAGCCAAAATAATGACGGAATCTCGTTCACGAATGGTGCAGGATTACGGAGTATGACCGATCTACTCCGTGCGATAAACTGCTCAGCAAATCATTTGAAGATTCTTGAATATTGAATTGTAATCTGGAGTGAACGCCGACTTTCCTAATTCCAAAACGACTGAGGCACGGCGGTTGTTCTTTATTTGTCCAGGTTAGGGCCGCCGACCCGTCCGTCTAGGGCATAATGGCTCATCTGACCGGTGCCCAAGTCATTGCTCGTTCGCTTAGAGACCTTGGAGTAACCGTCGTGTTTGGAATTGTTGGTATACCGGTGGTGGAGATTGCAGAGGAAGCGATCAATCTGGGCATCCGGTTCATTGCTTTTCGTAACGAACAAGCATGCAGTTATGCTGCGAGCGCCTATGGGTTTATGACTGGGCGGCCAGGTGTCTGTCTGGTAGTTGGTGGGCCTGGAGTGCTACATGCTATGGCTGGCGTATGCCGATACTCTCCTGTTGTGATGCTTGATTCAAAACTGATATACGTGAACACAAACAGATAGGAAATGCCTCTGCTAACGGATTCCCACTACTCATCCTTGCTGGTTCAGTTGAAACTACTGCAATGACAAAAGGGGGGTTCCAAGAGATGGATGCAATTGCTCTTCTCACGCCCCACACAAAGGCAGCAATCCGACCAGTTTCAGTTGATGCTGCACGCGACGCGATCCGAAACGCATACCGAATATGTTGGTATGGCCGTCCTGGTGCTACGTTTATCGATCTTCCAGCAGATTTAATCCAGGGGAGATCTGATATTGAGAATGTCACTCCTGGGTCCCAGGAGATATCTTCTCCACCTTTGCCTGCTGCTGACCCAGCAAGAATATTCAAGGTGGTACAGATTCTTAAGTCTGCCAAATCACCTTTGATAATAGTTGGAAAAGGTGCTGCATATGCTCGTGCAGAAGCCTCCATCAGGGAACTCATCGAACGAACTGGAGTTCCTTTCCTACCCACTCCGATGGGCAAAGGCGTGGTCCCAGATTCTCACGCTTTAAACGCCTCTGGTGCGCGAAGCGTGGCCTTGAAAAATGCCGACGTGGTGATCCTCTTTGGAGCCCGTTTAAACTGGATCTTGCATTTTGGAGAACCGCCACGTTGGTCTTCCAGTGTCAAGATCATTCAAGTTGATATCCGGCCGGAAGAGCTCGGCCATAATATGGGCATTGGAGAGTTAGGACTTGTAGGAGACATTGATCTTGTCGCAAAGCAGCTTCTGTCTGCCCTTTCTGACTGGCGCGTAACATTGGCCGAGTCATATCTCTCTCTGCTCGCAGCCTCAACAGCGAAAAACCGGTCAAAAATGCTTGATAAAGCCCTTAAACAGACCCCCGTCGATGGTCTCTTAACTTTTCATCGGACATTTCACATAATCAAGACTACTCTTAATACCATATCGCCCCCAGAGCTGGGGGGTATCGTGTACGTCTCCGAAGGAGCTAACACTATGGACATATCTCGTTCTGTATTTGAACTTGAATATCCCCGGCAGCGACTTGACGCTGGAACCTACGCAACTATGGGAGTTGGGCTTGGCTACATTGCCGCAGCCCATGCAGCCTTCAATCTCTCCTCCGCAAGTAAGGGGTCAACAAACAGCCCACCGAAGAAGATCGTCGCGTTTGAAGGTGACAGCGCTTTCGGTTTCAGTGCCATGGAAGTTGAGACTCTCGCTCGTCACCAGATTCCGGCGTTGATTTTCGTCGTGAATAATTCCGGTGTATACCACGGAGATGCGATCAACGAAGCCGACTGGCGCGAGCTGCAGAAAGACACAATTGCAGATAAAACGAAGATTGATGCCAACCAAGATACCCCTAACAGTGCTCTCAAAAAAGGCCTCCGGTCTACTAGTCTTCTATATAACACGCGGTATGAATATCTATCAACTATGTGTGGTGGTAATGGGTTTCTTGTTCGCACGGAAAAGGAACTGGAATCTGCCACCAAATCCGGTTTTTTAGAGAAGGAGAAGGTCACCATTATCAATGTTATCATAGAGCCCGGAATCGGCCAATCCATTCAATTTGGCTGGCAGGCATCTAAAGGAAAGGACACGCAGGAAGCAAAGCTGTAGATACAACAGTTCATTTATATTTGGATGCTACGGAGTACAAACTCTAGACTTGAAACTAAATGAGATCTGTAAGGCAATCAGAGTAAACTACTGCGTAACGCATGCTTCGATCTAGCCGAGCCTTTAAATGTCATTTTATGCGCCTTTGGACGACCTAAAGAACCAGCACATGGCATCACTCTCTTGCGGATCATCGCAAACTCCCATGGCCGTTCCTGCGCTTCGTGGCTGAAAAACCCATAGGGAGACACAGTACTCCGTAGACATATTGATTCAGTCAGACAGGGTTGGATAGTTAAGGGGCTTCCTGGCCGAAGGCAGGATCGTCCTTGAGAGGAAAAGTCTAACGGCCAACAGCTAAAGGCGACTTCATTTTTGGGCGATAAGTTACAAGATCCGACACCCGCGTAATAATACGGCGCATCCGAGCCTAGCGGTAATGGTGGGTATCCGAAACCTTAATCGGTCCCAGCAGCTCGGAGCGCGATTGGCTAGCGGCGTTCAAGCGGCTGATCAGCGCATCGCAAAAAGGAACGAACGGCTGTCGATCACGGCGGCGGTGATGTGGCTCACGCAGCGTAAACATAGAGCAGCAGGTAGCAGATCGGGGTGGTTGGCTATTGATGCCTATCATGGCTCGAGGTGGTGCGTTCCGGCTCGAGCATTCTGGCCGTTCCGGATCCGGGAAGCCACCTGGGTCCTGTACGGAGTACGCAGAGCAAACAAGGCCCGTACACATAGTTATACAAGGCAGAGCCCAGGCCCCGTGGGTGTTCTTTGTCACAAAAGACATCTGTTGATTTTGATGCAATAACACGCCCTGTTCCCGATCTCGAGCAAGAAAGAGATTTATTTTTCCTCCATTAACACACAGCACTGAGGGATGTCACTCACTCGCTAGCACGCAGCCCACAGCCCATTTTGAACAGGAGAGCCAGGAAATCTTCTGAAATCCCATTTTGATGTATTGAACATCGAGGCGCTATCACCACAACATCGACAAATACGCGATGACGGAACCTCTAGATCCGCAGGGAAATCTTGCGTCGCTCACCACAAAAGAACCGTTCGATAATATGGATACAGACAACAAACAGCCAAAGGATAGAAGCACAAGTCCCAACCAGGAAGAAAATGAAGCGGCCAAAGAAAAGGCATCTATGTTCAATAGGGGGTTTCGTTTCTGGGCCATTATGTTTGCGCTGGCAGTTGGGGGGATGTTGACCGCGCTCGAGGCCACTATTACGTCGACTGCGCTGCCCACGATTGTCGGAGAGCTTGGTGGGGCAGACCAGTATATCTGGGCTGTTAACGTTTACTTTTTGTGCATGTATGTGTATCCCAGATACGACGCTTCAGAATCTTGCTAGCTATCAGATTTGAGAGACTGACACCTCCCCCAAAAAGGACAGCACTACAGCCACTTTTTGGTCAGCTGGCAAACGTGTTTGGCCGAAGATGGCCTATGATAATAGCTACTGTGCTATTCGTGGTCGGAAGCGGCGTCTCGGGCGGAGCAGCAAACATGGGGCAGATGATTGCAGGCCGCGCTCTCCAAGGCCTAGGGGCCGGAGGAATAAATGTCCTAATCGAAATTATCGTTTGCGACTTGATACCTCTAAGAGAGAGGGGCAACTACTTGTCACTGGTTTTCGGCGTAATCGCCCTAGGTACAGCACTCGGTCCCTTTTTCGGCGGCTTGATAGTTCAACACACCAGTTGGCGATGGGTATTCTACTTGAACCTTCCTGTTGGCGGTGTTGCATTGGTACTCTTGGTTCTGTTCCTGAACGTGAAATATAACAAGGAAGACTCATTGGCAACCAGGCTAAGTAGCATCGACTGGGTTGGCACAGTGATTTTTGTCGGGTCTGTGTCCTCAATCCTGCTGGCTTTATCGTGGGCAGGTACATTATACCCTTGGTCATCTTGGCGAATTATCGTTCCTCTCATCGTTGGCTTTCTGGGACTTGCGGGTTTCCTCGTCTTTGAAGGCTCCAGCTTCTGTCAAGACCCTACAATGCCCTTGCACCTTTTCTCTAACCGAACGTCGCTTGTGGGTTTCAGTCTTACATTCATCCACAGTATTGCGAACATTTGGGCCTTGTACTTCCTGCCCGTATATTTTCAAGGCGTCCTCGTTTCTTCGCCAGGTCGTTCTGGCGTACAGCTGCTCCCCTCAATCCTAATGCTCATTCCATTTGCTGCAATTTCAGGAGCGGTACTCACAAAATGGGGCCGTTACCGACCAATTCATCATGCCGGCTATGCAGTGATGGCCATAGGCCATGGGCTATTCACCCTTCTAAGCGAACATTCGTCCACGGCTGAATGGGTGATTTTTCAAATGTTAGCCGCCGCGGGAGCAGGTATTGTGATCCCAGTACTGCTACCGGCAGTTCAAGCCGAGCTTACGGACAAAGACACTGCCCTAGCAACATCAACCTGGGCATTCGTCCGAAGCTTTGGCATGGTTTGGGGTTCCACAATTCCTGCTGCGATATTCAACAATCGTTTTGACCAGCTTTCCGGGCGTATCAGCAGCGACATAGTTGCAGCTCAGCTGAGGGGCGGAAGAGCATACGAGCACGCCACAAAGTCTTTCCTTGAAAGGTTACCCACAGGTATTCGCCAAGAGGTCATTTCTGTCTTCTCTGACAGCTTAAGGCGGGCCTGGCAAGTGGCATTGGCATTTGTGCTGCTGGGATTCGTTCTGGTCATTGGCGCAAGGGAGGTTCCTCTGCGAAAGGAAGTTAATACAGAGTATGGAATGGCGGATGAGCGAAAAAAGAAGGTTGAATCGTTGATGGAGGAGGGCAAATCGACGTTGGACGGCGTGGGCGAAGTGAAGGGAATGGAGGTAAGGGTATAAATTTCGAGCTTGCAGGCGTTAATTCTGTAGTTATTTGCTGATATCTTGACGCTGTGTATACAATACTGACAAACAATCTGCACTTTTTCAAACCTGGCTGTTTCAATAATGTTTAATGAAGCGGAGGCCGTATTCCACCGACAGTACGGAGTAGTTAGTCAACTTACTAGCGAGCTAGCGTCTTGGTCTTTGGGCCGAGAAGGTTGGAAATTGGTTGTTCTTTAGCCGGCTGGCCGAACAGTATGAACAATCCCAATTACGGAGTATTGTGCTATCAAACTCTCTCCACCACATCGTTGATTACACACTTCACTTTTACATTAAAGGAAATTAATATACAATTTCCAACGTCACTTTTTTTTGTTCAGGACTTGTCTTTCTGCTATAGAGATGTGAGAGGGCTGGTCACTTGGCCAGAAACAATAACCATCCATCCGATCTCGCAGCCAAAGGCACTGCTCATATGACATTTGCTGGTTGACAAGAGATGTCTGGAAGCTATTTTAGTGGTTACCGACACCAATTAGTAACGCCGAAAATGTTATTATCAGGTAGCACAGCACAAAAATACGCAGCCAAAAAGTGGCGCTGTCCAATATCATCGCTACAATTTCTGGAAATGCCGCTTCGAAGAAGATGACTAGAGCGGTGAGTATTGCATGATATAACCTCACGGACGGCTATTTCAATTTTAGTTTACAGTTGAAACAACTATAATTAGATCTAGAGCAATGGCTAACAAACATGATCTAAGGTCGGACTCCGAATACCTCGCTTCTGCGTTACTTCGCCGAAAGCATACAATTAGCTCCATACCTCACTGCATGATTTGGGGGCAACCAGTTTATAATAATTGGAAATTGATTCTTGGTAATTTATTATACCCGCTGTATGGAGTAGGTTTGTGCCGGGATGTCCAACTCGGATGCTTCCTAGCTGAATCGGAGACATGCGAAGCCCGCAAGATTGTTATACAGGCCTTGCTCTTACTTAGGCTATTGCGTTTCTCTTTCGGGATACAATCATCTTGACTTTAGGAGTCTTCAAGAATCTGCACTGATATTCCCCAAATGTTTGAATTTTTCCATTCCCCTTTCTTTAACTTTGAGTTGATCAGGATTCTGGGCAGCACCCCGTTTGGTGGCTGTGAGGTTGCCGAATTTCTTGAGGCCGTAGGCACAATTCGAAGACATGATTCGGAAAGTTGGTATTATGCTTGGTACGAGCAGGCTGAAAGAGCTGAAACTATAGCCCAAGAGGCGGCGCGAGACGGCCATCTCACTGCCGCTCGCCGCGCATACTTGCGAGCCTGCAATTACTTTCGCGCCAGCTCATATATGCTCATAAATCCTGACGACCGAATTCTTCCTAGTGCCGAGAGGTCCATTCAAAATTTCAAGCAAGCAACGCTCCTTATGGAAGAAAATGTTGTCGTTTTAAATATTCCATATGAGGACGGAGTCACTCTACCGGGGTACCTCTATCTACCTACACCGTCGAGGCGAGACCCAAAACGCAAAATTCCCATATTACTAAATTGTGGCGGTGCCGACTCCACGCAAGAGGAGCTTTATTTTCTTTATGTGACCACAGGAACGGAGTTGGGCTATGCTGTTGTTACATTTGATGGCCCTGGCCAGGGTATTGTTTTGAAAAAGGAGAAAATACCTATGAGACCAGACTACGAAGCTGTCACGAGTACAGTCTTGGATCACTTGTTCAAAATTGCTAGTCAGCATCCAGAGTACGATCTTGATCTCGACATGGTGGCAGTTGCAGGTGCGTCTATGGGCGGGTATTACTCGCTTCGCGCTGCCATTGATACCCGAATTAAGGCATGCGTTGCAGTTGATCCGTTCTATAGCCTTTGGTCCCTGGCTTTGACTCACATGCCGGCTTTTTATGTCCAGCTCTGGCAAACTGGCTGGATATCAGAGTCATTGCTAAATGGAACTGTACACTTCTCCTCAGCTATCAGCTTTATAGACCGCTGGGAGTTTTCACTTGGCAAAGCCATAATGGGCACGTCCACTCCCGGAGATACCCTTCGACGGTTTCAGGATTTCACCCTTGATGACGATTCTAGCGGAGGAACGATAATCGACCGAATATTTTGCCCCATTTTGGTAACAGGTGCTAGCCATACAATATACGCGTCTCCGGATGCAAGTACGGTATTAATATACGACTTGCTTAAGCACCTCCCAGAAGATAAGAAAGAAATGTGGGTTCCAAATGATATTGGAGATGGAGGTCTTACGGCTAAGGTGGGTGCCTGGTCACTGCTTGCACAAAAGACTTTCCAATTTCTAGATAAGCATCTCGGTATCAAAAGGCACGAGTATCGTATTTAAAGCCTTGTGCGGAAAATACAATTTATCGCAGGAATTTATTTAGACTGTTAAGCGTTGAGTTGTCTGGGCGAAACAAGCTCACACCTCGACTTCGGCTCAGTGTTAGCCTGCCACAATCGCAGTAGTTAGTTATAGCTGTAAGACAACCCACCTTCAGCTTCTGTCCACTTCTCTGTACAAAACCCAGCCAATCAAGAGGCCCACTCAGTGACAGGATGTGACGGCATAGGGCAAAGCCCTGAAAAACACTCAGTACGCCGTAGAGAAAGTGCACTGACTAAGCAACACAATATTACATAATGAACTTAAACACTACAGAAGTTATTGATTACCTAAGCTAATAAACATTTCAAGCCAATCGCAGCGATAGGCTTTCGGCCAGCGCTTGGTAGCTTGTCAGGGCAGGGCTGGCGGACCCAAATGATGATCCATTGTGGAAACCCCTTTTTTTATACAGTGCAGTAGGATACGGCACGCAACTACTTGCAAATGGAAGAAAGAAATAGCCAAAATAGTTACCACGTTTGCCTAAGGAGTACTCCGTATGCATTTACATTCACATTTAACTACATACATAAATCGAACCCCAAAAAGAATCTGAAATCCTTGTTTTTTTTATTTCAGCTCCTCGCTGATTTCACAATCTTCGGGAAGAACATTTTCGTGTTTTCATGTTCTATGGAAGTCAGGTATCCAGCCACCAGATCGCCCATGCCCTGACGCTGTGCCATCTCTATCCACTCTTTAAGAGGCAAACGTGAGAAGGGGATGCCGTTATTATCTTCATCTTTCATGAAAGCGTCCATCTGATCGATGGGCATTTCAAAATCGCCTGAATGGTGTATGTATTTGATTGGTGGGTGTTCGTCGTCAGGACTTGTACTTGGGTTTACTACCGCTTTCACAATGGCGCTTGATACATGAGCTGCAGTAACAAAATCCACATAACCGTCCCAGAGATCAGCTTGAGGAACCGTTTTAGTGAGCCTTGAGTACTTGAGTATATTGCTGATTATATCAAGATCGCCAAAATCATCTTGAATGATACTGGATGGGCGATGAATAAATATTGGTAAATCAGATTCTGCGCTCGTTCTCTCCAGGAATACCTCACTGGCCCATTTTGAAACTAGATAACCATCACTAAAACCTGGTGGAGGAGGGAACTGTGCCAGTGAGACTTCCTCAAATGTCTCGGAATTGTTTAGTCGGCCAATTGATGCTGTGGAGATGTAGTGAAACGGGACCCGACGATTGAGAGCCATTTGGGCAAGTTCTTTCGTTGATATAAAATTGGACATTCTAAGGGACTGGTAGGTTTTGAGGAATGAAACATCCGCTCCGTTATGAATAATAGAATCAGCTTGGCTAAAGATAGTATCCGCAACTTCTTTAGAAAGACCAAAAAGAGGTCTGGACAAATCTCCATGGTGGATAGCGACCTTTCCTGAATCGCGAAAGTCGTCCAGTTTATTTTTAGTGCGCACGGCAATACAATGGATTGTTTGGACTGATATTGATGCTACAAGCTCCTGTAGTATTTTCTTGCCGAGAAACCCTGTTGCACCAGTGAGAATCACAACGCGAGGCGGACTATTTGCCATTTTTGTGCAAGGTTGATAGCTCAGCCCGGAGGTGGAAGTTTCAACATCCCAATCTATTGCCAAGGATCCTGATTCTGGTAATTTAAAAACTAATGCAGCCATACTAGCTAGCGTGCTGTTTTCGAATAAGCGAAACAATGGTAAAGAAATATCAAACCGGCGTCTTATCTGGTCTTGGACTTCAATAAGATGCATCGAATTTCCGCCGATACTGAAAAAGTCGGAATTTTTGTGAATTTTCTGGGCTTCTGGACTTTGAATTAGAAGCACCTCTTCCCAAATGCGCATTAGTTGTGACTCCATTGCATTTAGCTCAGTCGCGGTATCTGATATGAATGCCACGGCATGCTGGAATTTTTGAACGGCATTTCTATCGATCTTTCCACTGACAGTGAGGGGTATAGCTTCTATTGGGGTAATAGATGCCGGCTTCATGTACTGAGGGAGTGGAAGATCTGACAGCAGACGTCGAAGGAAATCATTTGGGCTAGCCATAGTGGAATTCCCCGAGAAAACAACATGAGCCCGTAAGACGGGTGGATCTCCAGAACATGTAACAATACCTTCGCTCAGTTTTCCCCCAGCTGTAGCTAGGATTGCGTGCTCAATATCTTGCAGTTCAATGCGAATCCCTCTAAGTTTGACCTGAGTATCACCGCCGATACGACCAAGGACTTCAAGGAGGCCGTTAGCATTAAACCTCCCTTTGTCACCGGTACGATACACTCTGGACCAGGGTATGGGCCTGAAATCAGCAGAGTTGTAAGAGATAGAGACAAATTTCCGCGTACTCAGAGTATCGTCATTTAGGTATCCTAAAGAAACTCCAACACCACTGATACATATTTCTCCTGAAACTCCAGCGGGGACAGGGCTAAGATTCCTATCAAGAATGAAAACTGAAGTATTGGGTAAAGTGTGCCCGACGGGTATTGTTACCATCTGCGTGTTTAAAGTTTCTATTTCAAAGTTGTTTGATTCGAAAGTTATTTCAGTTGGTCCGTATGCATTGATAAATCGTAAATCTGATAAGCCGATATTCCGAAACTGATCTATCAAGTGATTAGGGAATTGCTCCCCGCAAGACATAGCATACTTCCACTGCACAGCGTTCTTGAACTTGGAGCTTGCGTAAGTCACCCAGCTTAAATATTCAGAGGGTGTGGCAGCTGTGTAAGAAACCTTCTCTCCAACAATTATTTCTACAATGGCCAACGGATCGCCTCGTTTTATCCTAGGGGCAATCACCAGCGTTCCACCATGAGAGAGACAGAGCAACACTTGGTAAATTGACAGATCGAAGCCAAGAGCACTATGCTGAAGAATGATTTCCGGAGTAGAAATTCTCGCAAATTCTATCCGGTTTCGCAAGCCAGCATGTGACAAAATCACACCTTTGGGAGTTCCTGTGGTGCCACTTGTATACAAGATTGCAGCAGCGTCTTCGGCCTGGGCTGAAATTGTGACGCTCTTTGAGGGCTGATTAAAAGCAAATTGGGATATGTTAAGAGAGGCTGTATTGTCCGGAACAATAATTTCCGCTAGCATTGCCGACGTGGCATTGTCGGACAAAATTGCAGCTGGACAAGAACCTTTGATGATGATGTTTAGGCGAGAAGGGGGGATATTGACATCCAGTGGGACGTAAATGGCACCGATTTTCATAATTGCGACGAGGGAACAAACCCAATCAGGACTGGCCTCCTGAAACACTGCGACGGGCACCCGTGCAGACACACCAGCTTTTAGTAGGGCAGTTGCTATGGAGTCTACCCGGTTTGCCATTTGCTTATATGTCCAGTGGGTCCCAAGAGTGTCGTTCAGCGCGACAGTGCTTGGACGTTTTGAAATAATATTCTGAATAGTGTGTGCCAAAGTTGCTGGCCACTCAGAGTTCCGGACAGGTCCTGTTGAATACCAGATTAGCTGTACAATGTATGTAAAGCACTCTATAATTTCTTACCTAGGCCGAAGGCTATCCCTTTAGAAATATCTTCTTTTGGAAAGGGAGAAATACCCCGCAAGACCGCCTGTGGGTTATCTGCAGCAACGGCTAGAAGATGACAGTACATGCGAGCAAGGAGTTTCGAGTCATCCAACGAGTAGAACTGCTTTTGCAAAAGAAACATGATAAGGGGCTCGTCGCCAGCGTTGTCGAGAATATCGAGGGTAATATCATATGAGGTTCGGCCGAACGAATACTCTTCGCCATGCCCTTGTAAGTCTCCAAACCGCCTGCGCTCTTTCACCCCCTGACGGTAATTAATAAATGCCTGAAATATTGGATTGTATTCAGTAGATCTCGGCGTTTTTAGCTCTTCGAGCAAGATATCAAATGGCAAGCGTGAATGAGCGATTGCTGCGAAAACCTTTCTTCGGGTATCTTTCATGGCATCGGTAAAAGTTTTCTGGGAGTCAAGTCGCAAACGCAATGGAAGTAAATTTAAATACATCCCCATGCTTCTCTGTGATTCCTCACTTCTATTAGAGTCAGCCATTCCGATGCACAAATCTTCGATATCCAGAAGCTTGAAGAGTAATACTGCGTAAACAGTAAGATAAAAGTGAAATATGCTCCCTTTACTTTTATGACAGAAGTTCCGAATACGTATGGCTAATTCCGCACTAATCCGGCAGTCCTCTCGATGATGTTCGTATTTCATAATGGGCGAGCGGCGGGCGACTGAGGAAAGCGGTAAGAGTGGTAAGGGGGGTAAAGGGCTAGAGAGCTCCGATTTCCAGAAATTCAGTTCCGTGGTCATATTTCCATTTTCGATATCTAGTCGTTGCTTCATACAAAAATCCGAATACTGAAAAACGGACTTCGACAAGGGCGTCTTCGTATATGCCATTTCCAACTCAGCTAGAAAGACCTCTAAACTTATACCATCCATATTTATATGATGGTACCCCATCACAATGTAATTTTGAGTAGGACTTAGGTTGAGAAGTCGAATTCTCATAGTCTCTCCATGCTCAATATCAAATATATAGCTTTTCATTTCTTCAAATTCGTTTCCGACTTGATCTGCGGAATTTATTTTCTTCTTTTCTAAATGCAAGGAAGAAATTTTCAAAATCCCTTGCATTGGTATTTCATTTTGCCGTGAAAGAAAACAGGTTCGTAAGGCTTCATGACGTGCGCCTAGTACGTTCACAGCCTCCTCCAAATTAGTCACATTAAGATGCCCTTGCAACTGAATAGAGAAGGTGATATTAAAGGTAGTCTGGTCTTCCAGGTAATGTCTCAAAAACCAAAATCGAGATTGGCCAAATGATAGTGGCAGTTGCTTCTGCAAGTCTTTGTTAACAATGGAGATCGGTAACTTTGGTGAAATGGTGGGCACACATATATCTTTAAGGCCGTCCTGTGAAACTGACAGTTTTGGATTTTCCACAGATGTGTTAATGTCTTTAGCGTCACCAGAATTAAGCTGTCTAGAATTTACTTCATTAATATGCAAGTCTTCAGCATCCGGTTTGCTTAGGTAGGGCGTCAATTCTGATGGCAATTTCTCAAAGGCAAAGGTAAACAGGTCTGCAATACTTGCACCGCCAAGGATTTTAAGAACGGGCATATCGACTTCCAGCTCTTTTAAGAACCAAGATCGCACCTCAATGGCAACTAGAGAGTCTATGCCAAGCTCGTCTGCACCCTGTGTAAGAACCTGACTTTGGACTGAAGAATCTTTTAATTGTAGCTGAAGTGAAACTTGTAGCTTGGCGAAAAACGCATCTGCTTCTCGGTTATTCATCGCCCAGACTAGAAAATATCGAATTACTGCTCACCTTGAATAATAGAAAGGGTTTCCTGCTCGGATGTGGACCTGCGAAGCTGTGTTTTCACCGATAAACTGGCAGTACCATCCTTCGTTCTTGACTCGCCCAATTTATCCATGTTCACACAATGCTGGAACCGAGAAGATGTCATCCATCCAGTAAGTTCTTCCTCATCTGCATTGATAACACGTAGACCAGTCACTATCTCTGGGTTGTTATCAGAATCAGGTCTTCCAGCAACTATTGCTTCGGCAATACACTGATGAAAGCCCCTTTCTGGTATCCAACGGAACCCTGCCCTGTATATTGATTGCAACACAGTCTCGGTAACTTCTCTCATCACATAACCTACACCCATGACTGCACCAATATGTAGAACTGATCCTGCCAGTCCCTTTCGACGGCGCTGAAATGCCAAGGAAGTTCCATACATATTGGATGCACTATAGTTGGACTGACCGCGGTTTCCAGTAATGGATGCAAGTGAGGAAAAAAATATAAAAAAATCCAACGAATTATCTTGAAAAAATTCGTTCAAATACATGCTCCCCAGAACTTTCGGTTTTATCACTTTACTCACGCTTTCAAAGGTCATATCAAAAAATGAAGCATCGTCAAGAACCATGGCACCATGCATCACACCTGCAATAGGCGGGGAAGTACGTTTAATTTCCGCAATCAACGCTCCCAAAGAGTCTCTGTTGGTAATATCACTATTTTCGGTAAGTGAGTGTTTCATAAGTTGAAGAAAAACCGCCTACTTAGAATACAATTTTATTCCAACACCTTGCGATTCTATCTGCACTAGCCAGGCTGGATCGACGTTAGGATTACGGCTAGTGATAACAAGGTGCCGAGCACCATGAGCAGCTAGCCAACCACATAGGGATTGGCCAAGGTCACCACTTAAACCAAACAAGACATATGTTTTGTCTGCGGGGAAATGCATCTGTACGTCAATAGAAGCAAGTTTTACCGGGACGGCACAGCCTGTGCTCCAATTCACAACTTGCATGTCAGTCGTTTTTCGTAGATTTATAATGTCTTCAATATTTATCACTCTAGGGCAGATCGAATCCTTAGATTCGAGAAGAGATAAAGCGTTAGATGCAGCATTCAGGCAGCATTCCACTCGTTCTTGGTATATGGTCCAAAGCCGCTTAATTGTATCCATCATTGTCATTTGTATGCAGGATTCAGGTAAGCAAGATGAAACCAATGTTCCCATTCGAGTAGGGAGATCTGAACAGTCAATGAAGGTTGAGATATTTTTAGACAGCGATGCCTGCAATGACCGCGGTGTAGTGTATGGATATAACGGAATCCAAGAGCTTTCGTCAATGATAGGGTTAGAGGTTAATAAAATGATGGAAACACCAATTTCAATAGCCCGGTCTCTTAGCCTCTTTCCTAAGTTCAATTCTGGATTCAGAACAAGAACTTCTGTGTGAGGGTTGCACGCTGATAATATACCCTCTATGCGAAGCTCAATGTGCAACAAAGACAAAAGACGAGTTTCTTGGCCAATGGCACCGGAACAATCAATCGAGTATTTACAGTCAGCAGCAATTAGAGATCCATTGTTATTCGAGAAACATAATATAGTCCGCCCAGAAGAATTATCGACGCCGATGATAGCATAAAAGGGGGTTGGGGTGGCCAAAGAAAGGGAATGGCTAACTTTCACAACCACCTCATTCTCTGCGGGCTGACAGGTTGCTTGGACCAAATGAAAAGCCCCTGATATATTTTTCAGATGGACTGGAGTATCATGGACACCGATAGTATTAAAAATAGACCGCTTGGACGCATTGTAACGATCATTTTGTGCCTTGTTGGGAATGACGCGAGGAATTTTCAGCTTGCCTTCCTCATAGGCTAATTCTTGTTCAAAAGACCATAGAATGTCGTTTGGAGTAAAATGCAGGCGCAGTAATGATTCTACCAATACAGTCCCATTTGGTTTTGAGCTGGATTGCAGATCAAGGAATTGTAGTCGAAGGTTGGGTGCTTCCAAAGCCACCGTCCTTCCAAGGCCGACCGTCATGTTCATGAATGGCTCCTCTGCCCTGCAGCCTTGAGTGACCCATAGAACTGTTCTTCTATAATCAAGTAATTTCTTGAGACATTCAAATTTTACTTCATCAAAATCCTTGAATATTGGGCAATCTAGCTCAGTGACACTCAAGACAAAACTTGTAGATGACACTTGAGTCGAGTCGACGTCATAGAGCGAAAGGAATTGTTGAATCGGAACACCCCAAGGGAAAAGCAGCTGACGAACTTCGCGAATTAAATTGATAGTGCGCATTGTTTTACCGCCAATAATAACTAAATCCCAATCCTCTGACCGAAGCGACCGATCCGGGTATAATAGGGGTTGCCGAAGAAGATTGACTTTATCGTTAACAGCCTGAGATACAAAGACTGATACTGGATTGGGTAAAACATCTGTTTCTGGAGTTATGGTGTCAACCCCGGAAAACCCGGCCTTGAGTAGAATGGTATGCCATTCCACGGCAGAGACACATGGTGATAATAACCGGTTATCAGATTGGCCTAGCCACCACCCAGGAAGTCCACCCACGGCAAAAGCAATTCTAATGGAATCGTTATTGGTAATTTCGAGAATTATCAAATACCCCCCAGGTCGTAAGAGCCTACGCACATTTTCCATTGTTTTCTGAAGACTCGAGGTGGCATGTAACACTAAGGAGGCAACAAGTATGTCATAAGAATGTTCTGCAAACCCTTGTTCTAGTACGTCCTTTTCAAGGTCCAGTACCTTGAAGACGATCGTTTTATTAGCATAATTGACAAATATGTCTTTGGCGGCTTCAAAGAAAGCAGGGGAAACATCAGTGAAAGTATAGGATAAAAAAGCTTGTTTGATATGGGATAAGATAGATTTAGTAGCTCCTCCTGTACCAGCCCCTGCAGTAAATTAGTTAAGACTAAACATATTTTTTGGTTCATGTTCTCACCAACTTCAAGAATATTCATATGGGGGTATCGGTGTGTAATTTGCGAGACAATTTTTGCAAGATATTCGGTATTTTCCTTCAGACCTAGTGCATCCATGTAGTATTTACCCAAAGTATTCTCTTCAAGGAGGTGCTGAAGAATGTTTGTTTCTCCACGTATAGATGACACCAGATTCTCTCCAGCAGCACGACACAGTTTCAGTTCAATACTGTCAGGGTATCTATAAGATCGTCAGTTGCTGTTCTGCTTTCAGACAGCAAATGCCTACCGTTCAAAGATTGCAGATATTTCTTCCCAAGTGTCACTGAGCCATTCTCGTTTGATATATGGCTGACTCCCCTTTTCTGTATCGGAAAGAACACACTTAAAAAACTTAAGTAGTGACTTGTAATGCCACTCAATGACATCATATTCCTCCGTCTTAATTTCATCATCTATCTTCCGCATATAGTAGGCTGAGACGCGTTCAAGACACCAGGCCAGCTCGTAATCGTCAACAGTCGGACGGCTGGTCACCGGAAGCTCCGCATCAGGGAATGCTGGGCCCCAGATATGTTCTGACAGTATTTGGCGATCGTATAGTGGGCTTCCATCCGAAAATGAAACGATGTTCACACCCTCGATCTGTATAGCCACCGACTCTGAATCACCACCAAAAATATCGACATCCCCCTGAATACCACTAATTTCGAGGGGATTATTTGTTATATGCGATTCAACCGCCAGTTCAACCCCTGCAATCATGCTTTCCTGACACAATGGAATACTAATTCGGATGGTATTAATGCTTGTAGGGATATAGAGCTGCTCGAGGCTGCCATCGTTCGGCCACCAATATGCAAGAAATACAGCTTGCAATGCAACGTCTAGCACTGCCGGATGGATCAGTAAATATTCATGGGCCTCACACTGTGGAACTGCGATAGTTGCTGAAGCGAAATTTAGTTTTCTTTTCATTGAATTTAAAGAGCGGAAGCTGCCGCTGTAACCATAACCAAGATCATCCAGAGACTTATAGAATTGATCCTTATGCACAGGGATCAGGTTCGGTGGCTCATCCTCTCTTGATTTACCCGATATATCGGCATTAGCGACGGCTACAATATTGCCTGTAGCCAAATTCGACAAGCTATCCGAATCTTGATTTATAAAGGCATGAAAAGAAAACGAGGCGGTCAAGTTTCCACCATGGTCCTCTATGCTGGAAAGAGTAAATAAGGTTTCAACTCCAGAGTCATCGTCGTCAAAAATTAGTGGTCGCCGAATATTAAGCTCGGAGATTTCAATCAAGCGCGCGGTACTACCACTCATAAGTGCCAAAGTGGCTTCTATTGCTGCGGAAATGTATCCAGCAGCTGGGAATACCATCTGGCTTTGAAGCTTATGTCCACGAACCCATGGCACTTCGCTGGGCTTTAGAATGTTTCGCCAGCGAAGTACGCCTTTCACTCCATCAGGGACTATATTCCCCAGTAACTGATTGGGCTTATCGCTTCGCAGACGATATGCCCGGGAAAGACGGCTTTCATGCCAGTATACCCTACTATGATCCCAAGGGTATGATGGCAGCCCTTTCAAAGGCCGAATGAACTTGTTTCCGGAAAGTAAGTCCTCAATCGAGTTAAAGTCAATGATAGATGGCGAAGTGTGGGTCCACAGGAATCCAATAGCGTTTGCAAATGTCGTGATATCTTCAAAGCCACGATTCAGAGGACAAACATAGGGCAGTTTATGGTCATATATTTCCTGCATTGTTTGAACCACTGGGCTTTTAAGGGCTGGATGTGGGCCGATTTCAATTGCAAGACTAAAAGGTCCCATGCTTGTGGCAGCTGCCTCAAGTGCCTGAACAAATAAAACCGGGTTAACCATGTTATCCTTCCAATATTTTGCTTTCAGCTCATCGCAGATACTCATTCTTTTACCATTGTAAGTGGTCGAGAACCAAGCACATTCGCTTCCTATCGATGTGGGGCAAATGTCCAAAGCCTGTAAAGCTGCTACATACTCCGTACCACATGGAATCATGTGGTTTGAATGGTAAGCGACATCAACTTTCAGTAGTCTAGCAAATTTATTTTCGTCTTCAAAAATTAGCCTTGCCTCCTCCACGGCATCAGAATCTCCAGATAGGGTAACACTGGACGAAGAATTGCACGCAGCAACACAGATCCGGCCTTGAAAAGCGTCCGAGTCACAAAGGTCTTGAGCATCAGTATATGAGGTGCGAACAGCCATCATTGCACCGCGGTGCCTGGCTCCTGCCTGTGACGCAAAATGTCCACGATAAAATGCTATTTTCATGGCATCGTCTCGAGATAAAAGGCCGGCAGCATGAGCTGCTGCAATTTCACCGGAAGAATGACCAATAATGGCACTAAATCTTACACCTGCCGCATTTAATATATCGACAAGAAGAAGCTGAACAGCAGTGCAGAGAGGTTGTGAGACGCCAGCTTCGCCGAGACGGCATGTTGATGGATCTGCGGAAAGTTCCTCTATAATTGACCAGGTTGGCCTAAATTGTTTAGGCAGCTTTTGAATGGTGTGGTCAAGATCCTGTATAAATCTTTTGGCGTATTCTGATTTAAGTACCAGTTGGTGACCCATTCTAGCCCATTGGGCGCCTTGGCCGGTGAATATTCCCAGGATTCGAGGTGACGAGCTTGCGGGTCGTGTTCCAGCGACGATCGCAGGACCATCGGTATTCCTCGAAGCTTCAAGATATGCATCTATTGCCGAGACCAGCTGGCTGACAGATAACGCCCCAAAAGCCATCTTCACAGCAAGCTCTGACCTCCTTGCATATAGGGTATACGAAAGGTCCCGAAGGTTGATACTTGGATTATGTTTTAAATGTGAAGAGAAGGATGATAACATCCGGTGCAGGGCTTGGTCTGTGGCTGCTGAAAAAACGAAAGGGGTAAAGATGGTTTCAGACTCAGATTCTTTCGTTTGTGGGATGAAATTCTCAATGATGACATGAGAATTTGTTCCGCCAAAACCAAAACTGTTAATACTGGCTCTGCGAGGACCTATAATTTCGGGCCAAGGAGTGGCAACAGTAGCGATTTTCAGGTTACCATAAAAGGGCTCAACATCAGGGCTCAGGGTATCAAAGGACATATTGGGCGGAATAACACCATGCTGCACTGCAAGCGATGCTTTTATAAGACCAGCAACACCTGCGGCACCTTCAGCGTGACCTATAACTGTTTTCAAAGAGCCAACATATAGCACGTCCCCCTTATCTCCAGATTTACCTTCAGGCCCAAAAAAGGCTTTGCTTATCGCCTCCGCTTCCTATATAAAAATTCAGCAGAGTATCGAAAATGTATTAGTTGCTAGGGCGTACATGAGCATCGCCAGCCTTTGTCCCGGTACCATGGGCCTCAAAATATTGACAGCGATCGTTCTTACATTGGGGGTCCAATCCGATTTTAGTGTAAGTTTGGGTAATCAGTTCCATTTGAGCGAGCTCATTGGGCATAGTTATCCCCTTTGTGCGACCATCTTGATTAATTCCAGACTCGCGGATTATGCATTCAATATGATCACCGTCCTCTAAAGCACGGCTTAGTGTTTTTAAAACCACAGCGGCAACACCCTCTCCCCTCGCATAGCCGTCAGCATCAATGTCCCACATTCGAGATCGACTACCAGGCGAAAGCATTTTAAGTTTCGACTCGGTAATGTACTGCCCTGGCATGAGGATAAGGTTGGAGCCTGCTGCAATAGCCAGGTCCGATTCACCACTTCGCAGCAGCTGTACGGCTTGGTGGACCGCGACTAGACTAGACGAGCAAGCAGTATCGATAGTCATACAAGGACCATGCCAGTTGAAGAAATAAGAAATTCGATTAGATATAATGCTTCGTGCATTTCCAGTTGCAGTATAAGTAGGTAGTGTATCCATGTCACGCTGAAGATGGTCAGTATAGTCATTGCTCATCAGACCAACATAGACTCCAGTGTGAGATCCGTTAAGTCCTTCGATCGATAATCCAGCAGATTCAAGGGATTCATAGACTATCTCCAGTATAAGGCGATGTTGCGGGTCGATGGAATGAGCTTCAACAGGCGTTATATTGAAAAACCCAGCATCAAATGCACGCGGATCCTCCTTGAGCAAGTATGACTGTTTGACATTCGATGTTCCGTGGTGCATTCCATTAGGGTGGTAGAACGTATCCCCGTTGAATCTCTCCTTGGGAATATCGGTAAGAACATCGTGAGGGCTGCATAAAAATTCCCAAAGTTTTGAAGGGGAATCTAACGAGCCGGGAAACCGACAAGCAGTGCCGATGATGGCAATGGGCTCTGCGCGTTTTTCCACGGGAGAGATCTTTCGAGATACCATTTTGATACTTGATTTTGCCCCGTGCAGTTAAAAGGAAAGTATTTGCATCCAAAATAAAAATAAGACAGCCCTAGACACTGGTATTTCGCCTAGAAAAAGATCCACAGGCAAATTTGGGCCATATGTTTCCAGTACAAAGAAGGAAACGTAGTCCCCCATGCAATGACAAAGTCTTCAATAATATTCCAGATATTGACGAGAATGAAATTTAGCGCACCTCCGACAAGGTATAGCGATTCGGACTTCGGACCGTATTAGATGAGTCCGATGCAGAAATATAGAATTGGGGGGGGGTAAAACTCTAGAGCAAATACCCCTAGGGCTGAACGCCATTTCCAACGAAACGGATGAAAGCTCCGAAAAAATGACAGAAAGCCCTGACAGCGTCTGAAAACATAGGTACCAGTCGGTTCAAGACCGACAGCTCCATCTGAAAGTTAAATTCCGAATTTACCTGGTATTCAAGCAATACGTGAATCAGAGATGACGCTTCGAGGCTTCTCACAACAGCGGATAGTAGGATGTCCAAAGCACCCGCTGCTAGAGCTAACCGCGGGACGCAGCATCGTGGAGGTGGTGGGCGGGCTAGAGATATAGATAGCTACTAGTAATTGACATACATGAAGAAAAAAAAACACAGGTGGATCAATCAAAATTGAGCTTTGCAACGGTATTACTTTACTCCGTAGTGACTAGACAAAGTGAAGTGAAGAGAACAGAACTCTGTACTCCGTACGGAGTGCAAAACAACCATTTATCGCGCAACGCGCCCCCTGTCAGCCGGAGGCCTGCCTAGGCTAGGCTAGGCACGGAGATTAGAGGATTCTCTTCATTTTCCTGTATGGCACAGATTCAGAACACTAGGTTCCAAATCACATGTCTTTTTGCCACATATGCATGATCAGAGCTGATGCTCTGATTGACTCTTTTTGCCCCACTTGGGCTAGCCACTCACTTATATAAACCAGCCTAGATCCCTCTTCAAATGAGATCAGATGAATCAGGCATTTCTCTTCAGCTTATAGCTCATAGTGTCACAGTTATGAGTCTGGCTGATACTTAAAGCACTCTATTTCCACATCTCTTTTATAATCAAATATCTTATGATCACACACTCAATAAAGCAAATTTAATATTGTCAGTGAACAAAATCATAACTAAGAACATGAAGAAATAGAATCATCAACAACATGAAGATGAAAAAACTATTTTTCATGAAGAGTAATGTGATTATTAAATTAGTTACAAGAGAAGATTGAAAAGCATGATACACAATAATTACAACACATGTGAAAGCACACAGAATATGACTATACATTGATTCAATGATGACTGAACACTCTACAATTAAAGAGTTAGAATGTTCAAATCTAGACAATTTTAGAGAAGAAGAAGTTCTGATGAATGACAGTAAAGTCTTGTATGAAAGTGCATACAGAATATTTACTGCTAATCAAGAATGATTTAATGGAATAACATCAGCTCTGGCTAAGATGAGTGTTTACATACAAAATAGCATGAATTCAGAGATTTCACTTCTTATAGCATGCTATTGAACATCAAAAGAAAAGCTAGCACATCTTTATAAGCAGTTTGACTTCACTACTGATATTGCAGCAAGCAACAATGTCCTACTTCACTACCAAAAATTACAAAAAGATTACACAGCATGCAACAAAAGACATTAAATGTGAGCACTAGTCTGAAAAAGAATTAGCTTCAACCTAAAAACTCATCTAAATATGACAGATTCAGAGATATGCAGAGATTTTATAATGACTCTACAAAAGACAGATTCTGATTGATCAGATTTCTATAATAGACAATGGAAAGAAAAGCAAAAAATGGAAATGTTACACATAGATGATGCAGCTGATAAATTCATTGATGACAAATGTAATAAATATTTTCAAAAACAGACAGAATCAGCTGTCTTCAGAAGTTCTAGTCTTTCTGAAAAACAAGCTCTAATGAAAAAGCCCACAGATCAATCAGATAAAGAATGCTTTTACAGAAAGTTTCACTGCTTGTCACAATGCTGATATTTAAACAAAGAAAGATGGTCAAGCAAATTTATCTCTAATCTCAAAGTGAAAAAGCATGTTAATAAGAAGCTAGTGGAAGAAGATAATAGAAAAAGAGTAGAAATAGCTATTGAATAAGCAAAGATGTTCAGATCTAAATTTAGAAGATCTAAGAAAAAAGCTAAATCTTCTTTGACATTTCATGTAATGTCAACTGACCAATCAGATATTGAGAAAACTGAATTTATAATGGCAGTTGTACAACTAGAAGTGACTGTGTTTAACAGCTTCACTTATAGTCTCAGAGACAGCTTTCTATTGAATAGTGTGGCTACAAATCATATTGTTAATCACTAGAATAGAATGACTAATGTGAAGTCTTGCTAAATTCAGCTTTATGCTGATAAACAGCAGCTTGAGATCTCTGAAATTGATGACACTTAATGTTATGACACATTATTAAATGACAAAAAGCACAAGATCTTATTGACTAGAGTCTTCTACATATCTGAATATCATATAAGTCTAATCTCAGTTAGAAAGATGAAAATAAAGAACATGTATTAAAATACTGTAGACATGAAGCTACAGCATTGAAATGGCACAAGCTGACACTTGATGACATGTATTGAAGATGTTGAAAACCAATTTGTTATTGAACATAATGCTAGAACAGATTTGACCACATTCTCAGCACTGAAAAAATCAAATCAACTGATGCCAGCATCAAAACCATCTAGCTTCAATGCACAAGAAGCTGCAAGCACTTTAAAAACAAGCTTCATGTCATGAATCTTGAAGACTTCATCTTTTGTATGACACAAACATCTGAGACATATTCATTATAAAGCTTTACAGAAGCTAGAGAAAGTTGTGACATGGAACCTTCTGTACATATTTACTGAAGTAGCTTAGTTAGTATTAGTCATTCTTGAGCTTATGATTGAAGCTCAAAGAAAGAAGAATAGAACATCTTCTACTACTCAATCAAAATTGCATGAACATTCCATAGCTCTTATAGATCAGATAACAAACTGATAGCATGTCTTGCTTGATCAGAGACTCCAAGGGCAGTCCAAAATTTTAAAATTTCTTGCTAAATTACACACAAACTCTAAACATATTTAACAACTAAATAACTAAATTCTCTGAAATAATGGAATCAGCAAACAAAACCAGATTGATTATTGAGTCTCTCCCAAAGTCTGTATTGCAAATAGCTAAATACATACTTAACTATAGCTGAAGTAACTCTAGCTCTCAAGTAATTTCACTCAGCATTCAGCATTTAGCAGAATTCATCATCAAGAATAATGAAATATCATTACCACAAAGTCAAATCTCTAACATTTATCAATTTTGTATATCAAAAGAGAATCTGAAAGTTCTCTCACTGAACAGTTCATGACTGATTTGATCAGAATCAGAGCTCTCTGACATATTTTACTCTGCAGACTGAAATCTGAATTCATCTATAATCAGAATGGCAATCTGCAAATTCATTCAGAACATAATGATAGTTACAAAGCTAACTTTCTATAGAGCATCACTATCAAGTAAGTAAGTCATGTCAGACAGATTCTCAAGCAATCTCTCAAGTAACTTAATCATGAATCTTTCATCTGAAAGTGATAATTTAAATGATGTTCCATCAACAACTTCTGACCAAATGCAGCAGAAACTATCCACTTCAATGACATATAAAGATTCATCTCCAGATCAGACAATCACAGTAAATCAACAATTCATAATCATTCAACAATCTATTACAATCATGTTCTTCAAAGATTCAAACACTAACAACTCTTCAGAACCATCAATTAAAGCTCTGGAAAAACATGCATCTCATATAAATGACATGGATATGCAACAGATCATAGATGCAGTTACAGCAAATATGCATACAATTATACATTCAGAATTAGCAGTCTTACACAGAGAATCAACTACTTCTCTTTCAATAGCAGTTTTATCAGCTCAACATTCTACTACAAACAATCACACACTCCAGCAAAGCTGAAAAATCACTGATATTGACTATTTCTACCCAGATATGCCATGTCATTGGGACTGAGACATTGCAGACTGAGAAGAAAAGATCTAAATTAAAGATGTATATCTTTTTATCATCAGAATTAAGACTGCAGCTGTCATTAAAGACTCACTACAGATAGATGCTGAATTGCACTTATGTCTCTGTGAAAATGTTATGATCTGATGAATAGTTAAATTAAATGATCTAGCACACAAAGCTCTTGTCCATAATTCAGTTAGCATTCAGAATTAATGCTTTGTTCTTGAAAAATGTTTCTGAATATCATCAGTGCAAGCACAATCTAAATTCAATAGCATTCACTATACAGTTGCAGATGTTCACAACAGCAAGTCAACAGCATTCTATCTCACTAATATCATAACAGCAGCTCATCAATGTGAACTAGTCACTTCAGAATTTACAGTTGTACTGCATGCATGACATCATCTTGAAACTTCTCTATGAGTCACAATAGATGAACCACTAGAAGGCACAACAATGAACATTTTTTGTGAACTGCTGACTTGCAAAGAAGTCAATTGATTTGATCAATATAACATAACATTCACATACCACTCTCTGTACAGAGCTGTCACATTTCAGACACCAAATACAAGACATTAGTATACTGCAGATCAATTCTATGAACAGTTCAGTCATTTACAGAATAATCAATCATGGAGAATGCAGTTAAATGATCAGCTTCAAAAATTTCAGCTCAAGTCAACTGAACAAAGTTCATCATCTTCATTTCATAATACAGTAGAACTGCAATGAGCATATATAACAGATTCAGACTCAATAAATGTTGATGAAGATTATTCATATGAATCAGAAGAAAACTCAATTGTCTCTGAAGACAACACATTTTCAGAATCTGACATGAAAGAAATGAATGCTGATTCTCACACTATCTGCTATCATTGTAAAGAAGTCTTTTC